ATCGGAAACCAAGAGCAGGAAAACATTTATGACGGTACAGGCAAAATGTAAACAGCTTGAATGGGTAAAAGATCATGCAACGTGAGGCTATGCACACCCTAGAACTGAGAGCGTTGCAGGCCCATTCTGCTATGGATTACAGCACCAAATGGGACACCCCACGCTGTCTACAACGTTTCGAGGTAAAATCCCGCACAAAACAATTGCTGGGCGCCATGCATGCCATATGGCATAAGTGCTAGATATGTCAAGTTTAGGACTGAGGTTTGAGACTCGGATGTAGCGCTTCTGGTACCTCTACGGATCCGGTGTGTATGCAAGTTGGAGGGAAGCTCCGAAGCACCGTGCGGTCGCTCAGGAAAACAGGTGATACCCAAGGGTTTCTAAAGGGGGTTTTATCCTGCATAAGTCAAGCACCGCTTAAAGCATAGAGCGACATCGTGAAGCGCAGACTGTGTCCTACCTTCATACAGATACTGCCAAATGTGACGCCTTTCGGGTGTGGGAATCCTAGGACTGCACCGACAGCCCGTTGCAGAGGATATGTGCAATGGTTTACGATTTGTGGCACTTACCAGAGTGTTGCTTTGGAGATCCATTGAGAAGGCACCTCCGCCAAAGCGGTAAAGAGCTGCTGCTTTTTCAATGGAGAACAGTGGCAACAGGGGCTCAGCCGTCCTGTTAAGCTGCACCCCGAGATAAGTAGCAAACGGACTGCAACCCTCATGAAGTGCTCCTTGTGGCTATCGGTGATAAGGTTGAGGATTCAGCGCTCGTGGTCTTCCGAGAGCCTGCCGTTTAGGGCGCGCGAGCCCTTTATGCTTAATTTTAGCAGCGCCCGACCCACAAACAGGTCCTCTAATGCCACTAAGAAGTAGAGCTTAGCGCTTACTGTATACGAAGGCCCACTTTGGGTGAGGTCCAACCACGGGGAGAGCAGCACAAGAGCTCGCGGCAGGCCAATGGGGATCCCACCTTCTCCAACTGTTCGATTGTGCTGTATAAGCTGCATTATCAACGTGACCGCCAGGTTTCCCCCCGCACTATCCCCTGTACCAACAGCGACATTGTAGGCAAATTCTGTAAGAACCTATTGAGCCTTGTCAAAAGAGATATTGGGCACCCCCGTTCTTTCTAGTTCTGATGCCCGGCTCTGGGTTTCTGTTCTTACCTGCTACGACAATAGAACTTGGATCAATTCCTTCCTCTTCAATGAGATATCTATAAAAAGATAGCGCATCCTGTAGCTGTCCTGGCCAAGGGCATTCCGGAGCTAAGCGATAACGGGGCGCTACCACTCGGGCCCCTGTTTGGCGGGAAAGATCTGAGCGCATTCATTATCACTAGAACCCTGAAGCCCGATCCCTAAACCCGAGCAGACAGTGCAACCAGCATAGGCTAAGAAGCATACAGCGGGACAACTCCGTTCTACGGTTGGAGGCTTCGAGATTAGTGGGGGTTCGTACTGCGCTGACCGTTTAGGAAGATGCGATAAAAATCAGGATTTTGTGAGATGAAGGCTCCGCCATGCAGGAAAAGGATATACCTGGACTCCTTGACCTTTTCCGGAAAAGCTACAGAGAGCGGAGGTGCACCATTGCTAAGAGCTGCTCCATGGGAAACCCCATCAGGAGAATCAGGATCCGACGCGGGCACCGCTGGTTCTGTCTCTGTTTCTTCTGCTTTTGAATCTGTGGCAGCCCTTACTATTGAGTTTATTTGCTTTAACAGCAACAGTCTGAGCCTCCAAGCATCAGTAAACGTATATTTCTGCTCAGAGCTCTTAGGGGCCCCCCTTGGCGTTTCATACACATGAACCATGACCCCGTCCTTCGTATATACAACAACGGCGCGCTGGTGCTGCAGGGCCCCCATACCCTCCAGCATCTGATTCATCTTGCATATGCCCCTCTCCATGACGCGCCTGTCTCTAGCCAACTGCCGGTAGCTGTGAGGCCAACGGGTCAAACGGGTGTACGTAAAGATGGCGGGACAAAAAAGACGACGGGCGGAATGATCAGGCACCGCGGTCCGCAGCAAGGAATGCTGTGCCATTTTCACAGATATTCTTTATTGGTAACTACAAAACAGGATATATATGCATATAGACTAACAATTAAGCATTCAAAACGAGCCACGGGGAAGGAGGAAGGCCAAATGAGCTCCAGCCCGTTGCCACAGGTGTAACAGTCCAAAAACCGGGGCCAAAGCCTCAACTCAAGCTGTTGGACCTCTAGGGAGCCGTCTTTGAGGCTGGAACGACAGAAGAACAAACACTAGAGGCTCTTAGTGTTAAGAGGGGGGCATTCCTTTTGCCTACGGCCTCATATTACGCGGGGGGCGCCTCCTAGCAACTCAAAGAGCCCCACTGCCGCATGAAAACAGCAAACAGAGACAACAAACAGAACAGAAAGTACCTGGACAAACGGGGTTCCAGGGGGGACCGCTCAAGTGTGGTGGTTCCGGTTGTGCTAGGTCGAGCCGTTCATATAAAGAGATAAGGAACGAGCATCCCCAGTCTGCCCTCTACACGTAAACCACCCCGAAAAGCACCTATAATGTCAATAACATTCCTTATCTTTGAAAAGAATACAGGGAGCCACGGAAAAGCACGCGCTGGCTGTCTTCGTCTCCAGGGGCTGATGGTGGCTTGACGTCAAGAAAAACAAGGCACAAGCGAGCTTCCTTTTGAGCAGAAGAGAAAAGAAAATTGTGACTGAGAGGTAATCGAAGAGACACTTGCAGTATTCTGATTGGCATGGTCGAGTCTCATTATTTCCGCTGTTGTGTTTGCAGCGGTCCCCGGTGCGGGGCCCGGAGGAACAGCAAGTGCCTCAGATGCAGGACATCGCAATTCAACAAAGCACAAAACACCTGACAGTCCCATTTTCAATAAAATAGAATTCTGCTGTAAATCTCTGTTTTTCTTGCTTATTTTTCTGTTTAATAGTAGAAAGCCATACAGGTTTTCACCCCTGTACGCGAGGCGCCCGGTCGGTCTGTGGGCGTCGAAGATTGCCTACATTGCACAAGGGTGCTGTGACACTTCAATACTTCAACTGGAGCCATAATTAAAGCTTTGATTTTCTGGTATACCTAAAAGCTACCCCAGGTAATTTCGAATATGTGCCCTATGGGGATGAATGCTTCCTAAAGGTTACTCAGCGCTGGCAGTACAGCCGAAGATTCCGGCCACAGGAGAAATTAGCCTGTGCCACTTCTTAGCAAGCTTAACAAGCTCTCTTTAAGAATTCCTTTATACTGATGCCAAAAAACGTTAGAAGCCTTTGTACTATACTGCTTTCTGTCGCTTGGACTAACGCAGTCTTCCCTTAGTACCAGTAGCGCCTACTGGTTGATGGAACGCTTCACCATAAGGTCTTTGAAGGGAGATGTCTGGTTGTTGCTTCACTATAAAAAAGGGGAAGTTAATTATGGTTTTTTACAAGAGCTCCCGCCTTCTTGTTCCCGACACGTGCAGGGGGACGTACAACTAGATTGCAAGTAGATGCACCCTCTGAGCACTCCGCAGTATCGCAGCTTGTTGTACCTGTCATCTAGTGCACACCCATACAGCACTGCAATACATAAGATGTATGAGCATACAAAGCAACTAGCCAGTCCTCTACCGTTTCATAGCGACATGTAACCAGTTGGTAAAAAATGCAATGTTGTAGCTTAACCCGCTAAGTTCAAAGTGCATTCTTACGCAGTGAGAGTCTAAATTAAAGTGTCTATCTTTGAAGGCCTTATATGGAGCGCTAGATTTGGCAATAGTGCATGCTTCACGCAGCTGTCCCCCGGTTATCAATTTGACTGCTAATTCGCTGAAACGTCAGATTTACCCACAACTGTCTGGCATCGACCAAGTTATTTGGTCGCTCAATAATCTAATGACTTATTCTGGTAAAAGGCGGAGGAAAAGCCTCTGACGGTAAAAGCTGACGGTGGCATCACCCCTCTAGGGGTAGCAGAGGCCGACATGCAAACTGATATGGACACTACAGGTAAAAGTACAGGATTCCCTAGCTGACAAAATGGTTACGGGTGGATCTATGAGGTTGCGCAAACCAAAAGGGCATCATCGCTGGGATAATGGATAGGGACTCAGAGAATTCATTAGCCGATTGGAGATGTATTCTGCATTGTTTTTCTCGGATGGAGAGAATGTGCGCGCGTTGAGACATATTGACTGAGAGGAAGATGCCTTCAGTGGTGGCCTGGTTTATGCAGACAAAGCCGTCTTCCTGTAGGCATTCATTCTGTTGGAGCCTTTGCACGCGCCCAAGGTTAACAATACAATTTGAAAAAAATGGAGTTTTGCACAGGAACCTATCAGCTGGCTGTTTATCAAGATGCACGAAACCTGGGTTTGCAAAAGCCACAACGTTGACGAGCAGTTGCTTTATCAGCGGCGTCACGTGAGGTGGTTACAGAATGTGCAGCGACTCAGCGCCTGAATAGCCTACCGTTAAAGCTCTCACTGATTATGGAATCCTTGAGGTTTCAGGAGCAAATGAGCACAGAGCCTGTGTCTTTCGTTTTGAATGGAAGAATCAATTTGAGAAAAAGAGCCTATGGATGCCGGAGCTGTGTCAAATCGCCCTAGGCTACAGCCAAAGGTCAACGAAAAATAAACGCTAGAAACACCGCTGAGCTCCTCAGCAGCCCCACGTAGTCTCTCAAAACCGCACTTGCTTTTACTAACGGAAGCTGGGTCATATAGTCCGCAACTGCAAGAGCATACAAGAACCAAAGAGGTTGAGCTACTAATATACATATTGCAGAATGACGCTTTGACAGCGAAGGCCCAGCAAGGAAAAGGTTAGTCCCTCACACAGGCTGGGGCGCAATGAAGGGAGCTCTCAAGGCTAGAGCCGCATTTGTGGACCCACCAAGGGTCAGTTCTGCACTGATACAAGCTCACAGAAAATGGTGGAGAATTTCTAGCGTCATTTAAAAACGGATTCGTTCGGGGAGCTACCATTAGAGGAGACGGCATGCAGGCACGATCTTCTTGTTCGCTTGTTGGCTCAATCCATCAGACTCATGTTGCTCATAGGCCTCGAAATGCAAGGCCTGGCAAAGCTGAGGCCGCTAAGTACTACTTCGAATTGAAATTGGGCCCTTTGGGCATCGTCCGTGACATTCGTGTCGGACCCACATGTCATGAAGCAATCAAGGCATGCATGAGTGAGCCAACAGGAGGCGCGCATGCGATCGCAGCTGCGCACTGCGAAGTTTAGTGTGCTTGCCACGGCTATGAGATTGAAAGTGCATCCCTTCTTACTGTCGGTGCAAGTCCCTCACTATTAAAACGTTTAACCGAGTTTTCAGGCATATGAACAGCAAGTGGGCAAATATCAAGGAAACGTTCACCCTTTTGTACTTACTAATGACGAGCTGCCAAAAGGCTGGCCACCTGATGGTCGTCCAGCTCAGCTTCTTAAGCTGATCCCCGGGTTAGCACCAAGCCATGTTCAACGATATAGGAAGCCTCTAAAACATTAAGAAAAGACTGAGCTGAATGCAGATGATTATTTGGAAAACGGTAGAAGGCACAAATCTATCAGAGGCTTTAGGCATAACCCGATGCTGCTGCCCAAAAAGCACGAACGGTGGCACATGTGCGTTGAATTTCTATGCCTGAACAACAGTGCTAAGGAGAAGAAGTTTTCGATGGCCCGTATTGGCGCATTTCCTGACGAATTACGCAGGTCAGCAGCCTACTCGGTTTTCGACTTCACAAAGGCTTTCTGTGAAATTGCCACTCACTCTGATGGCAAAAATCTGGCGTTTAATACCCGCACTCGCGAACTCGAGTATACCTGCACGCTGTCTGAATTTGGTAGTTCCCAGCCGCTGCTTGTATGGATGACGTCCTACACTTCGGCGAAAGCGCTCAAGAGCACCTCAGCACCTGCGGAGTGCGCTTCAGCTCTCACGGAAAAGGCACTAGTATGTGAAGGCGCAAATGTGTTCGCTAGTCCCGAGGACAACCGGGGTTTGGGGATACCGTGTTTCAGCTGCACAAATTCTGCCAGATCCGGCAAAAAGTTGAGCAAGGTGCGGCTTTTATCTAACGCACCCGCATGGACGCCGCGAGTCCTTTGGTTTGCATCTGCTTAGAGATATCATTCCTCTATTTGCTCACATATTTGGTTTGTTGACTGATATGATTACAAAAGACGCATTCTGTGACCCAGGCAGAGGAAGCTGCTGCCGCATGAATGTTTGTTATTGGCCGTCTTACAACACTCCTGGTGCTTGCGCTACCCAGTAATTTATTGGCGCCTTCTTTTCGTAACAACCGGCTCTAGGAGCACAGTGGTGAATGACATTCTCAATCAAAGGCTAAGATATCTCCCCAATATTTTAAAAAGTTGTTTGTCATTCTCGTTGCTAAACCGAAGCCAAGCAGCGGTATTCAGTGCTAGAAGAACTCTGTGCGGTGAGTTGGGGTGTGAAATGCTTACACCTTTTTTGTGGGCGTACATTTAGTGTCCAGATCGCCTTGAATCGCTAATATGCCTTAAGAAGAGCTCTCCAAAAGCTCTGATAATAGTAAATCTGTCTATTGCCTTGGGTGCTTTGTGCATTGCGACGTTAGATTGTATCAAGGGACTCACCAAAACGATCGCCGAAGGGCTCTCGCGACTCCCTATGCATCTCACCATTGTGTAGCGCAATCGCTTTGTCGATACTGATTTACAAGTTCTCTCAAGTTGTGTACGTCCCAAGCTATTGACACTCACTGGTTCGCTATTCGTCCCAACATTCAGAATGGCAAAAGGGTGAAGCATTACCACGTTGGGGATGGCCTGCTGTAGTTCAAAACCAAGCGAGGCTTCAGTATGTGTATACCATCACTCTATTCCGCACTGCCTACTTGCGCAAAGCTCAGGATCGTGTTTTCGTATATCATATTGGGACTCACATTGCAGTAGAAAGCTCCCACGGTACCCTTGGTGGCCTGGGATGCTTCCTGCGGCAGAGGAGTGCGCATCGTCATGTCAAGCTTTTCAGCAGCTAAAGCCGCGCAATCACTCTAAACCCTGCTTCCTAAAAATTTCGGTCAGCTCCTAGAAAGATTTGGACTGATCTGGTCATGTGTTTTATCGCTGAATTGCTGGGAATTACGGTCCAGGGCGGCACTTACGTCATAATTCATGGATCAGTGAACAGGCCTAATCGCTTTCTCCTGCGTTGTCACAGCTCAAAAATTGCTATGCTCATGCCTATGTCCTTAACAGATTCCCCAGGAATGCCGTTACGGACAGGAATCCGAATTTCTTGGTGACCTCGGAGGTACACTTCTTACCTGCCTACCCGTTTGCTACAATTACCACTGTCAACCACCCTGAGGCTGCAAGGCGGAAAGAGCGCACGAATCACCTTCTCCTGCAGCATTTGGAACTGTGCACTAGCGAAAATTCAATGAATTGGCTTGATTACCTTCCGTGTTCTCTGCGGGCTTGTGCTGCCTGCCACCCACTGCTCTCCTCCACCAAGCCGCGCCTGGTCCTGGGGTCCGGAGTCACGAGCCACCTGTGGCAGTGGAAGGATTCAGATGACAGCTGATCGATGTACGCGAATGTTGCATAAAGCTCAAGCGACAAAAACACATCGTCACACTCAGCCGCGGTCGGTTATGTGTTCAAACACACCTTATTGCAGATACTGTTAGCTTGATACAAGAAGCCGCAATGTGTGCGTATGCACTAGTTGCTATGTGCAACTAGCTGTAAATGGACGAAATACTTAAAGGGTGTAGCTGCTTGCACCCCATTTGTCGCTCTTACCTGATGCCGTAACTCTGAGGGGTGCCGGGAGTGAAAGGTCGGCCCTCGTTTAGGAAACTCTCAGCTGTACTTTACTAAGTATGTCTTGATTATAAAGTTCAGTGTCCCCTTGCGGCGACTTCAAAATGGGATGTCGTGCCAGAAGCGGGGGCATCGTGTGAGATAATGGAAAGAATAGGGGGAGCTCTTTTTTATGTCACTTCTTAACCTTCTGATATATATTTGCAGCCATCTGCGGGTGATAAGTTTGTTGTGAAGGCCCAAAACGAACGTTATTGTAGGAACGAATAGCCGAAAGCTAAACGAACGCCAGCAAAATCATGGGATATGAGAAGTTCTCGGAAGGGGATGTGCTGGTATGCAAATATTTCGACCTGGGGCTCTACATATCCATGCGGCTCAGCTTATGGAAAGGAAGCATTTCGGCCAATCTTCCAGCGTCTACGGCGTTCCTAGAGTGGAAATAAACGATGAGTTTCCCATGTGCAAGGAATCCAGTCTTCGATTATTGAACTTTCTGCACACAATACATTCAGTCCAGTTAAAAATTAATTTCGGTAATAAGGCTGCTGCGGTTTACAGGCGTCTCTCGGAGTTCTAGAAGTCTGCCACTCTGTTCCGCTAGAGTTTTCCTGGAATTGTACTAGTAGAGCACCTACCAGCGGAACAACTGTAAGGGAGCAGGAAGTCAAATATATACCATGCAGGCTTAAGCCTTTTGGTTTTTCTGGCAGACTGAGAGCGAAGTGCTTTGCTTTTGTTTTACTGAGAGAACGAAATGGTCCGGCAAATCAAGAACTAATGCTTGCGCACTCTAGTGTACTTCATCCATGAACCCTTCGCGAACGAGCTCTAAAAAGTCCTTTTATTGTTTTCGATGTCCTTATTCTGTTGGGATTTCAATTATAGGTTCTCCACGACGGTAGAGCATCCAGGTTATGTGTGATTGGCCATCAGCTTGCCAAAGTGGATAGTGGCATGGTGTTTTTTTGAGAAGTTTCTTCATGTTCCGCACTGCTGAAAGGTATTTAGTTATGCCCAGGCGTGAGTTAGTCAACTGTTTAATGTTTAATCGGAGAGTTGTTCAAAAGACAGAGACCCAGTCGACCTTATTGGAGCCCCCGGAGCAATGCATGGGCATAAAGTCCTAGACAGTCGGACCTTTGCGAACTGAAAAAAACACTATCCATTATATATTTCGCACACTTTTCATCTTTAGTAATTTGTTATATCCCCTTTTAGTTGTTTCAGATTGCTATGGCCTTTTCACTCTGTCCCGGTACATTCTCCCTTACAGCGACCTGACCACTTGAAGACCTGCAACTCAGTACAGCAAAACCAGCATACGCACTTGGGCATTCGCTGTACGGGCTAAGTTCAGAATTTTCCTTATGTGAAGATGGAGGAACTACTAAAAATTGAAGGCTGTCTGGAGCCCGAGCCCCCTCTTCTTGCTTCACGAGAAGAGGACACGCCCAAAATGAAAAGATGCGTAAGGTTTCAATGTCTCGGGCTTGATGAAAGCCTTTCACATCAATGCTTTTTTCCGTTGCGTGTTACTGAAGAGTTGCCTGCTGGGCTTCAGTCAATGAACGGAATATCGCACCATGAAATTTCGGTCTTAATGCATGGAGTTTATCACTCTGCAAGCTGTCCGTTCTTTTGTGTTCGCTTAGCAGCTTTCTATGGATACGCTGCACCGAGATACTCCCGACGAGAGCCCAGCCCTTGCCTGCCCTGGCGGTGCCTATGGACCTGTCGAATCCCTCACCGTGGAGCGGGCGAAGCAGGTGCCTCTTCATCGTTGGGAGTATGTTGACGACTTTGGCAAGACACAGGTAGGGAGTTCATGCATGCCTCCTTAATTTCATCGTCCATCTCCTTATTGTAGTTCGCCTTTATGTCCGTTCAGGTGAGTTGGACATTGCAGGAATATGCTTACCTTTGTGCCCTGTCGCCCCACTTTCTCCTGCTTTCTCCACGTGTCTCTAGTGAAGCTATGTGGTTTACCTTTTATATTCTATTTGTAGTGCTCTGCTGTGTGTCTGCATCTTGCTGACCGACTGGCTGAAGGTCTCGTAGTTCATTGCTGTCCTTTGCGTCCTCTGCCTCCTGTTGCGTCACATTGTCGAGCTCTGTTGCAGCACCCCTAAAGGTTTATAGTAGGCTCGTGAGTGTGCTACAGGACTTCAGTAGCGATCATACCTCTAATCGTATATTGTGATCTCTAGCTCATGGCTTTCTGCTTCAGGGTCCATACGATGCTCTGCGCATAGTGAAGTGGATCCAAAGCGGCTTCTTCGACAAGAGGGGAGGGACCCTCTTCAGAATGGCGGGAGAGGAGACATCTAAAACCCTCTTGGAACAGTTGCCCAGTATCATGACTGGTAGGTACGAAACAAGAGGGGAGACAGGGGCATAACTGACAAAAGACAGAAGGAATGATGACCCGCGTTACCTTGGTCCTCATTGTGCGTTACTGCTCGCTTTTTAGCAATCATGTACTTATATACAGGAAGCGTGCTGGACGGATATTCACCTTAGCAAGGGGTGCCTAGGGTTGGGGACAAACTGTAAACGTGCCATGCTGTAGCCGTTGGCTTTCGCTGTCGTACTTTCATCTGCCTATGCTTTATTGAGTTTTTCTCCCTTCATGTATTGTCTGCTTGTTCGCGCGTGTATTCCCCTAACCTCTCGTTACAGAGGCATATGCTGCGATGGTGTTACGTATGGAGAAACCCCAGCGGATGCAAGCACCTCCGGAAGAGACTTTGGAAGTAGTGGAAATGATGCCCATGAACCTCTCTGATCAAAATTCAGATATACAGTCTGTCCTTAACGTCAAAGCGTGAGGCTTCACCCTTCTATATCACGGAATGTAGTGTACAACCACTCACATACAGCATAAGGACCCATCTCTGAGGAAACGCCTTGCCCACTTTTGCACAGCTAGTTCACCCGTACATAGAACCGTAGAGTATCGTACTGATATAGAGATTCACCAAACAGAATCTAAGGCCATCTCTCTAGTCTCAATTTTGTAAGTAAATTGAATTACTGCCAAAGCTGTGCGCCCATGCAAGGTGTGTTTCACCCTAACATTCCAAGTGTCGGCTTCTGCAGGTCTGTACTTTCCTGTACGCAGCAGTTTGTGCGTTGAGCATGGCTCTACATTCTGCAGTATGCTTCCATGTATATGCAAAAACACGCTTACACCATTTAACAACTGCGGCCTCTTGCGCCACTTGCAGGCTGCATCGGAGTCTCGGGACTTGCGACCTCATGGTGGTGCTGATGCCTTTCACAAAACGCGAGGATACGCCTGCGAATCGCAATGGGGACTGCTCAGAGGCAGCGCTGAGGAGAGCTCATGTAGATCACAAATCCCAGCAAGCACTGGTTCACAGCACAGGCAGTTATGTGTTTTCATGTGCGAGGCTTGGCCGGTCACAGAACTATAAGCTGTGAAGGATGTAACGGTTTGCCGCTTTTGATGAATTACTGAATAGGTTGAGATACTTCTGGCTTCTTCATCTACCTTTGAATCCTGCTCGCGTAGGGTTCTGTTTACTCATCGTTCACCTCTGTACTCGCCTTGCACTAAATGAACTCGATACTGCGAAACTCTCATCACAAGAATAATAGTTTGGGACCACGCCATTCATATTTGCTTCAGGTGCCCCAAAAGATGTTCAAGATTCCCGTACACAGCGCCATTTTGCGCCTGAGTTCGCCTATCTGGCTAACTGAGATAACAGCCCTGGAGGAGAAGCACAAACAGAGATTACTGTATTCAGGTAAGCACAGGAATTGAATAAAAATCTAGATGCGCAAATCAGTGTTACATAGTGACACGTTTCCCAATAACAGTTGCTTGGCTGCACATGGACCTACATACGTAATTAGCGAGAGGCTCAGCTAGAATACAAAAGCAAAAGATGCTCACATACCGTGAGAATATGTGCATGCATATATGTATGACAATATACATAGAGTGAAATATTTATAGGTTTGTTGGAGGACTTTCTTTTAGCTATGGAGTCCATTCGGTCAACTTTTGCACTATTCCTGCAGACCACCCAGACCGACAGGAGATGCTAAAGTACATCATTGAATGCCAAAATCCAGAGGCCCTTCGCTGCATCATTAACTACATTTACGGGTGGGCCTAATGTAGCTATGATTTTGTTGAAAGGCCCTTATATAGAACCTGTACCGTCCACATACGATACAGTTACATCGATCTCGACTCAAAGCTACTTTTACACTGCTATGTGTACTTCATTGCTACCTGTATGGAGTCACCCTGCACTCACCACGCTGCTCGAAACCATCCTTATACTTTCGGTTCGGGACTGTTGTGGCTACAGCTACAAGGCAAGCATCACTCACGGCAATCCGATGTTGTTGGTGTCAGTGTACTTAGAAGCGAGTCGCTTCAAGATTGACAAGATATGCAAGGAGGTGCTGGAACCCCTCTCAGCGCCAATGAACATGGAAGCCCTAACGCACCTGGCGTCCTCCTCTGAAGCAGCTGGCTGCGAACAAATCCTCAAAGAATGTGCAAGAGTACTCTGTGACTGTGCCTTCGCGCTGTTTTCAGGTAATTCGCTCTTCATCTCTGCTTGCCTTAAACATCGCTTCATATTTGGCATTTATGTGGTCTTCTGGTGCTTCCGTACCACGCAAGTATCAAGCGCTTTTCTACACAACACATATGCAGTCTGCCATCCAAGGATTTTATGTGCATTCTTGCGGAATAGCTTTCGCGCATTTCTTGTGACCCTCTTAGATCTGCGCACTTGCGCGTCATCTGTAGCTCTGCCATCCATGATGAGGAAATCACCCAATTGCTGGTTAGCCAGTGTGTGTGCCATACATGCTCAGTGAATCTGTTCGCAGTACCGTATGACGGCCTCTGCTGAACAACACACCTTCTGATAGTTTTTATGTAGCGTGGCTGGATGGTACTTGCTCTGTTGTCATTAACAGGAATGAAGCACATGCAGTTGGGCCCACAGGCCATGGCCTTAATCTTAGAACACGTACGCTTCACACTCAAAAGAACCAAAGACCACTGTAGTCTGCCTTCAGTGCTGCCATTCTTGGTCGAATGTCCGTTCTACGGATTGGTTCTAGTTTCCTTTGTGCAATGTCACGGCGAAGGCTGTAGGTTGCTGTGCCTCTAGGATCTGTGCTCTGTGATCCACTCAGGACAACTTGCAATTGGATGAGATGCAAGTTTACTTATCGGCCGCAGCTTGGTTGCACCAATATATCGAGAATTTTGGAGAGCTTTCAGATCCTTCAATCATTATCGAAGACGCACAGGTATTTTGCTGTTAATACAACAGTCAGCCGTGCATTTATCCTTTTACTCAAATGATTTGTTGCGTTTTGTCATGGAGAGCTTATGCAGTAAAAACTATCATTTCATTGCACCAAATGCCTGGGTGGAGAAATCCGATGGTATTCCCCAAGTGAAACAAAGGCCTTGATTTTTTGGGCAGCTAGTAATATTCCTTATTACCTGGCTGAAAAATCAAGGCTCTTGCACTATTTGCATGAGTTACAGCCGCTGCTGAGATCAGTGTCTGCGTATGCTTCTGCAGTCCATCTACAAAGCTATCCGCTTTTGTAGCATGTCCCCTCAGAGGCTGCAGGATGTGCGCGAGCCCGAACTCGACTCTATCATCTTGAACGCTTGCCTGCGCAAGTTCTCTGGGAACGAGTGGAAGCCCAGAGTCTTTCCCTGGACGGTTAGTTGTACATGTATAATTTATGCCTACATCAGCTAGCCGCTCTTACAACGATCTTCAAACGTGGTGTGCATGACTGTGCAGCTGTAGCTCCAGTAGTACGTTCTACATCCAGACCCCTATAAGCTGATGCACTTTTTCAGTATACATGCGCCAATAGTCAGATATCAACACGCTGTTAGAGATGCGCACGTTCTTCTAATACCGCATAGCGGTATATTATGCTTGACTGCTTTGGTACACCAATGCACAGATCCTCTGCATATGTCCTTATCTCACTGCCTGCGCAAGCTGTATAGTCTGCATGCTTGTTCGTCTTCTGCGCTCATATCCGTGATAATATGATTTCCTAGGGACTATCTATATAATAATTGCGCGTTCTTTAGTGCGTCTACCTGTTTCTGGGCTAGCGTCCTACTCGGCAAATAAAGCTGTTGTTTCATGTGCCCGCGGCCAGTCGATAGAAGCGTAGACGCCTTTGTGCAGATACGCTGGATTATATGGTGGAACTACAAAATTTTCCAAATACAGTTGAAGATATCTTTGTACATAATCTTGCGCCCATCCTTCCATCTCCACAAAATTGGATGAGATATCCTACATGGTCTGCTGTAATGAGTGCCTACACATGCACATGCGTGCCTACGTGTATCTGAATGCATGCACACGTCTTGTGGTGCAGGAAAACTGTGAGTACGAGGTGCAGTGGCGAGGCTCGCTCTACCCGACAGCAATAACACGAGCTAACAACCAGCGGGCCGGCAGGCAGTGGGCGTGGACCATCGGGTCTCCACGCCTTGTCAGCGAAGTCCTGTACGCCACCGAGATAGTGCGCACTGAGAAGGGGGCCATACATGTAGGAGTTGCTACAGACGACCACGGGAACAAGGGCAGTAAGGATTCCACTTGAATCGGGGTTTACGGCAAATGAGGTTGCTGGATGTACAGCCGTGCAGAGCATTGAGCATTTGTTCAGGAGTTCCTGCCTACGATGCAAGCTTTTGGCCGTGTCTACGGCCGAGGCTAAATTAGCTGTACAAGATGCCTGCCTCCCTAATATTCATCTTTCTCGATCGCTTGTTATCGTGGGTTGCCTATCTGAATTGCTCCTTGTGTGTGGACCGCAGAACTGGCGTGTTACTTCGACCACGAGGCCAAGGCCTTCGTTACGGCAAGTATCGGGACTGATCCACTGTGGGTGAAAACTGTAGAAAACAGTATTTGGGTATAAGCTAGAGTAAGCATCATTCTAGTGTGATGAAGTTACCACTGCTAAGCAGTATGTCACAAAAACCAGTGATAGGGCCATCAAGCACCCACACAAATCACCTGCAAAGCGGAAAGCTCGATTGCCTTCGGGGACTAGCCATTCCTCGCACTCCTACGTTCACCATCAACTAGCGGTACACATCTAATATTGATGATCCCGAAGAAGTATACACATTTCCGTGATTAATCTGAGTGGATGCATTTACTGCGGATACAGTACGCAGACATACATTGAAACATGCATGCACACACCTGCGTGCGTAACGACATGAAAAAAGCAACGAGCCTTGTGCCGTGTGCCAAACCTTTTGCGCTCCCTCAGTTCTTCTGCGTACCACACAGTTCACCCCACTCCGGTTTGTACTTGGAAGCGAAGTCTCAGGCGTGGAGATATAGTGGCCCTAAGGTTATCGGTCGGCATAAGTGCACTGCACATCACGATTCAAATTTTGAGAACCTCAATGAAAGCCTCGTTCGTGCTACCTCATAAAGTACCAGTTGTAAGCCAGCCAGGGGACTATGCAACCCAAGTATTTTGGTGCATTTTTAGTAGAAAACCGAATGGACGCGCCCCTCGCAGCTTCTTGACAGTGCATGGGTGCTCTATATTTTTAACTTGGCTTTTCTGCGGTTTCGCACGTTTCTTGTTTGCAGTCCTATCCGTGCCGAATTCTTAAAAAGCCATTCATCCAGGTCTATCCGTTCTTCGAGACCCTGAACTGTGGCGATACCTTGGCGCTCCCTGAGTTGCAGACGGACCTCTTCAATAGCTCCTAGAAGACATGGAGCTTCAGATGTGAAGCCGTCGTTAGTTTGGCGGATTGCTGCATTCTGGTAGCCCCTGAGTTGGGGGCCCCTAAAGGCTTTTGGCAAAAGGATTCAGGCCGAAGATAGGCCTAAGGACAGTCCTTGCAAGCCTGCTAGCCCACCAGGCGTTCCCTTCTTGCTAGGATCGCTCTTGGTGCAGCAGTAAATGGCATCGAGGACGCTCTTCTTTCAATTAATTATAAATAGAGGACCGAAGCCCAAGGCATTCGTTTCGTTCGCGCTAGAGCTCGGAAGTGGAGAAACTGTAGATTGTGGTTCCGCTTGCATAACTTTTAGAATCATTTGTTACGGTCTCTACATTAGGTATAGTACCGCTGCTTATTGCTGCATAATGCCTCTCGATAAATCCTTTGACCGCCTCCTTAATGGCTTCTCTACCCTCACGCAACAGCGTGCTATCCGACGCTGCGGGCTCATAGAAGTCCATACAATGAGATCCTCCCTAACGTCGCAAAAAACACGCACAAAGCCAAGAGGGACCTGGGGCTGAATCGTACAGCATCAATAAGGATTACGAGAAAGATGGGTGCTCCCACTGCGCAGCAGATGGAAATATGCTGTGTACTACCGCGGTAGTTAGGCGTGATGATGTACTTCGATAACGAAAGCTGAGACGTGCTGTTTTTCTTGTGTGAGTGGGTCAACGTGGAGGATCGAGAGACGGCTCCATGGGTCGACCTTTCCGTTAGTAAAGTGAATCTCTGAGGCTGCACCGAGAATCCCCAGTTGTCTTCCACCCCCCCAGGCGTTCGTCTCCTGTATGCCCCGGTCGGTGAACAAGCCCTCTGTCATACACCAAAACGTCAGCCCCAATTCAAGGCTTTCATGGCCTCGGGTAAACATAACAATCTGTTGGTTTGCAACAGCTTATTACATGGGGGCTCAAAAGACGATGTACAGCTTTGAGGATACGGAATATCTGGTTGCCTATATGCCACAGTTGGGTTTGGTTGTCCTTACTTGGGAGAGGGAAGAGCTTGTTGCAGACATCAAGATGGAACTGCACGTTGATAGACTGAGGACGCAAACTCCCGGGATATCCAACCTGAGCAGTACACAGCGGATTAAGAGGTACAGAGGTCATCAAAACCCGCACGCATCTGCGCGGCACCGTCAGCACAGAGCAAAGCACGGCTGGCAACAATTAGCAAGTAGGAATCATGATTTATAAGGCAGCAATGGTTTTGGTTCAAGGGCTTGCCCGACCTGCCAAAAACCAAACTGAGCACAACTCTGCCACATCCACAGCCTTGTATTCGACAGTATAGAGTTATCTGCAAAGCACAGGTTCCAAACACTTCTCTGAATGCAATGAACGCCAGGACAAGTAAAGCCATGGTAGCATAAGTCTGAAAAATGTGGGAGCACCACACTGCGGGGGAGCTACTGATATCATAGGAGCCCCTTGAAATATCAAGGCGATTATAAACACACGTAAATGCCCAGTCGCACGGCGAAAACTAGTCCATGTACCAGAACAACTACAAAACTTGGGATGAAATTCCGAAGTCTAAAACGTACCAAGTTTGGTTTCCGTCGCTGCAAGCATATTTACGTCCTTGCATTTCGCCTTTTTCCTCTTTAGGGATTCTGCAAAGTATTGTGCGAGACCCTGAAGAAGGCGCTCTTCTCTTCGGCTTTTCTCTGTGTGTGCCTCGGAGCTTTGTACTGCTTGGCCTCGTCCGTGGCTGCCGCTCAGTGCCTCCTCTCTGACCTCCCCTGCCTCCCTCTCTACCGGGTTCCCTGCAACTTCCTGAGCAGCCTCTCCCTGAAGCTCCCCTTTCCTTGCGTCACTGCGGTGGAACTTCTCATTTAGGTGGAACTTTTCATGCGCGTTAAAGCCGCTGAATTTCCCGGCAATAGTCTCGGTCAGCGTATCTGCAGCTCCCTCATGCGTTGGCCCCGCAAGGGCTCCTAATAGCGTGCAGAAACTGTCAATCAAAGGACGCTCAACGGGCCTATTATACTGCAAATCACCAACGGAAAACCCTATTTCCTCACTTAGTCAGCAAAACTACTGCCTTCCCAGCGCTCTGTGTGCTCAACAGGGTCAGGATTGTAAGCCGTAAGTCTTACTTGAACAGCTTCCGCAACTGCGTCAACGATGGAGTACAGGAACGCCACTTTTTCCTGAGTGCTGCTGCTCGCAACACCTTGGCATCCAAACCGACGAAGCTCCTCATCCTGCTCACAAACCCTATACCGTAAATTCTGGGGTTTCATTAGCCATACGCCTTATCTCTTAGCGACAAAACATTTCAAATCTGGGGCTTTTGGGCTTTCAGCATGTAAGCAGGGCGCGAATTCGCTAGTGTCCGCATTCACGTGTAGAATTTGAGATTTACGATGTGTCCTTCATTGATTTTGTTGTTGAGGGCTGCAAAAGCAGCGGCAGCAGCGTCTCTGCAGGAATTGGGAAGACTGTTTTTAACAACAGAATCGAAAGCTCGGAACTCCTCAATAGCTTTAATGGGGGAGGATGAACTGATGGCCCCAGATATGAGGAATGGATATTTCATGCGGCTAAAGGCAGCCAAAGCTCCTGATGCACCCGAAAACCACAATGCCCCAATCCAAAACGCCAAGCTCTGCACCCTCAACCTAAACTCCCGGACAGGCAGTGTTAAGATAAAGGCGCAAATCTTGATGCCATTCCTCACGCTATCTGAGGTAACTACTAGTTCACTTGCGAATTCGATTATATGCACAATGAAATTGAAGGGAATCGGGGCCAATGACAGCGGATGGGGACGAATGCATGCATCGAATGCTATATGCACGTTCTCGTGCTACAGCGCACCTGGGTAGGAGCACCCAAACACGACTACCGGTATCTCGTGTGGGGAGACACCTTGGGCCTTTGCTCTCTTGAGTCTTTCCGTCGTTACGAATAAGGCCAAGTCAGCCAAAGCCTTGAAGGAGAGAGGCAGCGAAATATGGCGCAGAGTGCCACCGAAAGACACAATACAAGAAGGCGTGACGGAACAAAAGGCTCGAAGGGAGGAAGTCAGGAGATGACATGGAGAATCACGAGCATCAGTCCATCAAGCGAAAGGCAGAAGAGCCTGAAGGTGAGAGTGCACCAGTAGCAGCAGTTTGCATAGCAGTATCCGGCTACTAGACCCCTTGACCGGAGACAGAGATGACCCTCTTTTTCCACAGGTCCACGTTTGTTGCTTGAGACCTCAAACTGTGAACCCTACATACAAGCCCCTAAAGCATAGGGACAAACCTGCTGTATAGTAAGCCATCTGAGGCTCGTTGAGTCTGAAGAGGGTAGAGGCTTTGATTGCCCGTAGAATCGATGCTCAAGGGCATATGCATCAGCGGAGAAGGTTGTGCGAAGGATCGCAAAGTGACCTGAAGCCCCCCCACACACACACACACAGAGGCAGAGAGAGGGACAGAGACAAGGGGTGTGAAACTCGCATGGGAAAGAAGCCGAAGGCGACTACGCTGACAAGGAGGTACTCCAATAAAGCAAAGAGACAGCAGAAATTTCAGTGACAATTCCTCACGGCAGAAGTAAAAACCAGAGACTCACTGAAGGACGCATGAATATCAGAGGAAGGGCGCAAAAGAAACCATGGCCATCAGGAATCCTTCAAAGAATAACCGATGCGATGCATTAAAAAGCACTGGACGAAAATCGTTGTAGCCTCAGCAGCAGGCGCGGACCTTCTGTGATATCTGTAGGTAAAATCTCTGCTTCACCCCCGATGTATACGAACATCGGCGTGGGCAGATTTTGCTGCTGCTGCTGCTGGTGTTGGTCCTTGGGGTGCAAGAATTCAAAGTAACGCTGCCTCCAGGTGAGTCCCTCTGCCTGGATGACTGGGTCGAAATGATCTAGGGGCTGCTCTATCCATTTGGTTTCCACAGCCGCCTCGCGCTGCTGCAGCAGAACTTGCAAAGGCAGCACAAAGGGTAACGAAGGCCTGGAGATACTAGCAGCAACATATGCACCCCTCTAAAATTGCAGCAACTCAAATATGCACCCAGCTGCTGCTTCAGCACTATCGGCTCCTACTGCTGCCGTAGCAGCTGAAGTATCAACCTACCGTTTGTCTTGTACGGTACAAGTCATGGGCAAAGGTATGGGGTCTTCCGAAGAGGAACCATTTTGTTGATGATACCTGCTGAGGCTGCAGTAATAGCAGCAGGCGCAGGAAGTGGAGAATGGTTGCATGTAGGATTGTCATGCTTAGCTCAGTGCTCCTACCCAATGCTGCAGCAGCACACATAGCGGCTGCGGCTCTTTTGGTGCTCCATGCTCCATGCAACAGTGCAGTGCCTCAGGCAAGAAAGCCCTGCTGTCTCAAAATTCATGCTGTTGTTGCATGCTGTGGCCCGGCGCTACCTGCTGCCGCTACAATGGCCCCGCTGTAGTCGAACTTCATGTAGCATAAGGCACACAAGTATAGACCGTCTGCCGCTCCCGAAGCTGCTGAAATAAGAGTTGTAGTAAAAGGAACGTCCTGCATATAATCAAAGTGTAGAACGAGCGCCGCTGCCTTCTCATCTCCGCCCCTATTCCGCCGCTGGAACTCCTTCCGGTAGCCTGTGCCCCCGAGCGATGCACAATCGAGAGCCATTATCTGCGACTGCTGTTCCCCCGTGATCGTCAGATCAGTGTTCGAATTATTTGGGTGCTTAAACTTGTTTCGCTGAGCAGTTTGGTTGCTGTTGCCTTTGAGAAAGCAGCGGCGGGGACCAGACCAGCAGCAGGCGTTATCAATGGATCGGCACCATGGAACCTCCCTGACGTGGGGACAGTGCGAACAACAGCAGCTCTCCCCAAGTAGGGGAGTTGTTAAAGCTCATCTGCCGGGCGGTACAGGCAAGAAGAGGGCAAACAGTGGCCCTAGTAGGGCGTCTAACAACCTCGGTGAAAATGATATCTAGTTCGTACGTTGTTGCCTCATTACTGCTGCAGTTCGATGCTTTCGCCTTGGCACATGCAAACGGTGTCTCTCTCGACCACACTGACGTGAGTACAGCAACCACTGCTGCCTCCTCAGTAGGGGCAACCAAAGAGCTGGGGTTGCCCACCGGCATTGTGGCACGTTTTACCCTTGGAGGGGATCGTGGATATGAGGTGCCCATAAATTTGGGGCCACGGTCAGACGACCCTTCTCCTAGACGTGATGTTGTAAATAGTGCAGTAAAAGGTGCTACCGCTGGGCTGGTGTGTATGCTGCTGATCACCATTCTTTCGGACATCCTTCATCTTTCAAAGGCTAGGCGGCAAAGGAAAGCTACACAGAAGGAAGCTAAGGCACTTACTGCACAGCGACTTGCTGCCCTAGCTTTTATGCGGAAGGCATCAGGGCTTTTGCTGCAGATGCAGGAGCAGATGGAACGACAGCGTCAACAAGAGCTGCAGCATCAGATGCTAGCTACAGCTGCAGATATTGAGCAAAACGTGGTGATCCTAGGTGTGCTACCGGAAACAACAAGCGTTGTAAGTCAACTGATCGACCGCCTTCTGCTGGCAGCGGGTGCACGGACGCCCATGGAACATGAGCAACGGCAACTGGAAGTACAACTAGAGAAGCAGCGAAATAAGGGAGAGGCAAGGATGCCGCAGATCGGGATTGAGTATGACATGGCATTCGGACTTGATGCTGAGGCGCCAGCGCTATCTGCTGCACAGGGCAGCACTGTTAGTACCTACGGCAGCAGCAAAAATAAAAACACCAGCACCTTTGAACCTTCCCCCATCGCGTTGGAACTCACAGAAGGGGTGGATCCTTGGAGGAACCCCAGATTGCCATACGACCAAGACGAGGTCTTACTGAAGTCGCAGGCCATGCTCAAGGATCCGTTGTTGGATACCCATGCGGTTTTGGAAGGCACCCAAGGGCCCCTGGAGGCTCTCGAGGGCATCGTGGATGTTTCTGGTTTGCTCTCAGAAAACAGGGACCTAACAAGCAAAGATCTACATGCCATTGTATCAGCCTTAAAGTTGCCCCTCCTTGTGGGCTTCAGTGTGGCGGAGGGTGAGGGCAACCGGAACTCTCCAGCCACCCAGAACATGGGGGAGCGAGGCGCTTCAGAGCTCAGTGAAGACACCCCCGAGTAACTCAAAAAACCTTACTAAGAAGGATTAGTGACAACTAATTTCTCCTCAGCTCCATCCTAGGGTGAGTTTGAAGGAAGTGCCTTGAGAGGTCAACAGATGCCATTCGTGGCAGAACTGTGGAACGAGCCCAGCGCATGGTGTGCCTGCTGGCGGTGAAAGAGTGGAAAACAGGGTAGACAACCGTAGACATCTTGTGCAGGTGGCGCCTGGGGTTATAAGGTTAATGCTGCGTAATCAGGGAATTTTCTGGAATGCAATTTTAGAGTATTGAGGTGAATTCCCCTAGGACCTTCTGTAAGTTTCTTCTTAGTTGAGCTCCTGACCGTTCTCTATCCACACGCCACGAGTTTGGTGGCGCAGTCTTTTCTGTGCTCACAGACAGACACATGCGGAAAAGGCGCAAATACCCTAATCGAAAAGCGCTCAGCCCTGTAAATTAGGTGCTCTATTCGCACAAGCAACACAGCTATTTCGCTCATGGGATAGTGGACCTTCAAATTTAGGGGTTAAAGTGTACGCTTTGGGGTTACCGAATAATAAAGCATGTACTCCCGAACCTCCAAGGATGGATTTTGGATATAACTGCAGTTGCCTGAGTCGTCGCTCAAGAACTAGGAGAGAAAAGCTCTCGTCTGCTACATCATATAGCACATGAGGGTCGAGGGGCCTTCTGTTGAGAGCGCTGCTGCGATAGGTGCTGGAAGGCTCCGACAGGCCACCCATGCTACCCCCCAGCAGAGCGCTTCTTAAGAGGCTTAGAGTCCGACGAGTGCCTGAAGGAAACGCTGACTTCGTGACAAGAAAACAAAATGAATACTATAATTTACGGCATGCGAATTCAGGATTTTATCGAGGCTTTGGGACCTACCCACGGTCAAGACTTCTGTTCCTGTTTCCATTTCATAGAGATCCTCTTCCGATTGATGCTGGTTATTGAGCAGGTCCCTAAAGAGCCTCTCGTTGCGGTACGTCAGGGATTCTGTGAACTGTTCATCTCTTCGAATCGCGTCCGCTTCAGGGCGCATGATCCTTACCCTTCTGTGAATCCGAGGCTGCCTGCATCCTCACAGCTGACACACAATGGCTCGAGTAAATGCCGAAGTAGGTCCGCAACAGCAGGAATCGGCAGGAGCACTTGAACGCGTTTGTCTCGGTCTAGAGTTTGGATGTACGGACCTGAGGTCAATACAGTGGACAAGTGAGCCCAGGGGTTCTTGGAAGGGAACAGGACCCACGGCGAGCCTCTCAAGCGTTTCCTTCGCATCAAATACGACCTTCACCAGAAGGGGATTTGTTAGCAGCCACTGAAGTAGCCGCTCTACGGCTGTAACATATGCTGTCTGCCTGTTTAGGAGGTCAACGATAAGCGTCCCCGAGGAAACGGAGAGACACATAAGAGATGCCGTATGAGGAGGGGCCCCAATCACACGCAGCCCAACTGCAAGAGGCAGCAAACCAGCAATTCCAGGCTCTCCAATCTCAAGAGGAAACAAAAATTCCCCGTGGGGGCCGCCCTTCAAGGGACCCCAAAATTCCCCGTTCCGGGCTGCGAAGCTTCCCGATGAGGTGTCTGTGGCGGGAGGAGACGCCCCACAGGGAGGGGCACCCAGAGATGCTTCTACTCTGGCCCTCGTAGAGGGCCCGCATGCGAAGCGGTTGCGCTCCTGGAGATCTTGTAGCGAAAACCGCCGGTGGCGCACGAGCGAATACACAGTAGAATCCGTCACGGGTCGCTCTGGGATCGGTGTGCCACCCCGGACAAGTGTCTCTTTGATGTCTTGATCCGTCTCTAAAATCTTAGTTTGCTGCTGCTGCTGCCGCCTAAGAGCCTCGAAGTACTCTCCAATTTCTTGGGGTGTCCTGATAAAACGAACTGCAGATGCCGGCAACAAGCAAGGAATACCGTTACCGCTGCCTGGAGCAGCAATGCAGACAGCATCGTGTTTCTGTGCGCTTGGATCAATATTCAGAGATGTTGTTTCACTTTTTGACGAGGGCCTCTGATTGGTGGGCCGTGAGGTGGAGGACTCCGAACGGGGTGACCCTTCGCTGGATTGGAATCTCAGGCGACGACTCATCAGGAATGCCCAGGGATCCAACGGCAGACCTGCAGCCAAGTAAATACAAAAGCTACATGGACCTTGACACTTAATTGACGCGGCAAGGGACAGGGCAAGGAGAATGCAGTGGAAAAGGTAGGTGGTGGTGGTGGTGGTGGTGTGTGTGTGTCTCTGTGTGTGTGTGTGTGTCTGCGTAGGTCGCCTACGGCGCTGACGGTAAAGTCCATTATGTCTGCATCCTTCTTATGTCATGCTACGCAATACATATGATAAACCTCTACATGCTTATTCAAATTAGCAGTTGAAAATCGAAAGGGTATACAATGCATGATGCGCCGTCTCTAGAGAAAACAATAAGCGCAGACCGTACTCCTAGACGTCCAAATGTGTAGCACCAGCAAACAGGTGAACACACCGGTACGGGGGTCTTTGTCTTCCAGAAGCGATGCAGCTGCTCTCTGCAGAGCAGAACCCCTTATGCATCCAAAAACATGTAAAAGAAATGCCTCGCTCTGTCGCTGCTGGGCCACGTCGATGAAGTTTCGCCAAGAAATAGACGTGCCCTTCAGAGGCCGGCACAGGGCCTCGCGAGACTCAGTCATGGTCAGATTCTCAGCCTGGAAACCACAGAAAACCCATACTCTGAGCCCTATGACTTAACCCTACTTGCCGAGGACGCACTAACTCTGGCATGCTAAGTGCTGGTAATACAATAAGAAAGCAGACAGAGGCACGTGCTGCCACTATTCATATAGGCGAAAAGCAAATCACAGGGAAGCCGTCTATGCCTAACATGGGCTTCTAAATTCTGTAACATGCTTTATCGATGCGTAAACAGGGTAGAAGAGCTTTCGGGAATAGTCTTGGGCTTGCTACCGGTAACGCCCATAGGCCCTAGAGGAAATCATACATTTTCGGGGTTCTCTGCAGCCCAGCAGGCAGCAAAGATTTTGGGAGCCTCAAAGAGAGGACGACCCTGAGTTTCGCAGAGCCGACTGAGGAGGGTGCTTAGAGACATCGGACTGAGTCGTGTAGGCAGCTGCTGAAGCATCAAGTTCTGATGCTCTTGTTCGTGGTGCTGTGCCCCTTCGTCATCTTGCTGCTGCTGCACCTGATGTTTGTGTTGATATTCCGGCTGCTGCTTGGGCTGAAGTAGTATGCATAGCATGTCTAAAAAGCGCAGAGGCCCTACTACCGCTAGCAGTTTGTCCAAGTTGACTGCTTCGGCGCTGCGGGGCATTAGCGCGAAATGCCTGGAGGACCAAATACAGCGAACAAAGGGATACCGAGCCCCCATGTAATTGCCACCACAGCACACGAAGTACCCCGGGGGCTCCCCATAGCGCTTGAATAGACAGCCAACAACAGCAAGCGGCGTGGGATATGTGACAGAGCTGCATCCATAGCTGGGACTAACACCGAGAAAGTGGTGGCGATAACCACTGGGGATCCAGAGGGTCAACCACAACGAAGATTGGAAGCCTTACTCTTTAACCACAGATTGGAAAGCATCTTGTGCAAGAGAACGCTGTCGGGGGGCTGCAGAAGGCGCCAATCCCGAGTTCAGGACCCCAAAAACAAGCTCTGGCGTCCTGCACTTCCTCCTCTCGACCGCCGAGACACTTCGTTCTTCTAAAAACCCCTGCGGGTCTTTGTCTGCAGGTTTTAGTGACAAATCAATTCTTATGTCTGATAAAGAGCGAGGCATAGGGGTCTGGTCGTCAAACAAAAGCCTTAAAGCTTCGTGCAGCTCAGCACGCAGCTCCTCCCATCCCCTATACAAAACACATTACAAGGCAACAGATCTTTGCTTCATGCCCCTCAATGGCTAGCATGCTTCGTAGCTTGAGCTAATTCACGTCGTATTTTGCAGTGATTCAGGCCTTTGGTGCTACGGTTGTACCGGCTTACTTTTGATGGGGAGCTGGGTCCGGTGGCCATTCTCCACTAAAAGGTCCTTGCCGTGGTAAAGAGGACCCCTGAGGGCCTCTCAAAGCATCCAAAATGCTGCTTACTAGGTTGGCAGCAAGCTCTTCTCCTCTCCCTTCATCGCAGAGCCTCCAACAGAGTTCAGGTGTGGACACAGCAGCATGGATGCGGATGGGACATCGTAAGGCCTTGGGATCCAACTGCTTCTGATTTGCTATCCCCGAAGCCGTAGTCACCGTCCGGTCACAATGAAGCAGAAGTGGATTCCTTAAATGCAAGGCCAAGTCATCTTTGCAGCTAATCGAGTTGCTGCAGCGCCGGGATGCAACGCGACCAAATGGATTCCTGAAGTAGCCTGTGAAGATGAGATTGCTGCCTGTAGTTCCTCTGCTACCACTTTTGTAGTGGCTACTGAAGGGGTCACAATGCCTAAGGTTGTATGCGCCACTCGAACAGCATGATACATGTCCATACCCTTGAAGTGCCGACCCGCCCAATGCCACAGTGGTCCGCCTGGATACTCCAGGCATCTCTTTTGCCTCTGCCAAAAGCTCAGCAGCTGCTCTGGGAAAGCCTGGTTTCCGGTTAGGGGCTAAGCTTATTCTTTCGTAAACGCTGGCAAGGTAGGTATGATCACAAAGAACGGAGAAATTACGTTAAAGTCTTCCAGAGGTATTAGAGCATAGTAGTTTTACTATATCCTACATAGTACAAGGAGAGTTTGCTTTTTTGTAAGAGGCGGTTGGATATTGGATGTAGTGATTTGTTGTGCAGGAGTCCCAGCCCTCGGCCCATTTTAGGCCTGAGGCCCCTGGAGGTACTCAAGGCAGAAGTAGGAAAGGAAGCCTGGAGATAATATCCGCATGACATAGCAAATGTTATTGCAAGTTTCTATGGGATAAGTATTTTCAGTAGTGATAAAGCTCTTGGAGCCTGCCAACAACGAAGATACCACCAGTTTCGTCGATGTCACCGCTTTGTACTGCCCGGAAGAAATGGACAGGAGAGTACCCAATACAAAGCGAATCGACAAAAGCAGTTTTATCTTCAGTGTCCATAATGCTTAACACCTGTCCTCCGGGCGTATCTAAGTCTCCCGTGGTTCAGATTTTCAGTACGGTGAGTAATCTCATGGGACAGAAATGACTGACGACATCCGAAGGGTGTACTCCGTCAATGCTCTAAAGACGGTGAATTAGAGGCATGCATTACTGTCCACTCTACGAGCTGAAGAGTCATGCTAGCTGATGCATAAACAATAAGAGAAATCTGTAGACCCTGCAACGGAAACACCGTTGCGTAGCCTAGGGTGCGCATAAACCCGTGCCACTCCGCTACCCACTTCACACTCGATAACTATGTTATGTTATGCGTGGCCTTGGGACAGCGGCCCAACCTCTCCCCTGGAGTAAAACGGTTTAATATAAAGCTAGAGGGATGGCAACCCCCTTCAGGAACAGCGAAGCTAGTCGTCTTCTGCTACGTAACCCCACTAACAAACCGTTCGTTCTTCCAGAGAGCTCAATTTGAGGAATTTCTGCACAAATTATTCTATTTGGGTCCACCTAGCAAGTGCTCATTAGGCCAAGTTCCTTGAAAATGCACTAATTTTCACGGCAATACAACAATTGAGTATAGTCACGCATAAACGCATGCGGATCCTCTTAGTGTTGAACTGTACATCTACAGTAGGGACAGAAAAGGTATCCGCGAGATGCTGCGCTGGTCGTCAGTAAAGCGAAATTCAGGCAAGCTGTTCATTCTTAATAGCAGTAAGCACAAGGGCTGGACAAAACGCAGCCCTAGTAGCATTATAGCGCTCTGGATGCTAATAATTCAAAGAACCCTCTGATCCCTTCAAGAGAACATGTAATGAATGCCTATGATATACTTATTCTGCTCACGAGATAGTGCGTTGCGCTGCCTTTTGACTGTAGGGTAGGGTGCAAGGGTCCTGGCGCCACGGGGCTCGAAAAAGGGCAAATCAACAATATATTAGTCAGAAAGGTGCTCTACAGCGGTACACTTGGGTAAGTATATTATATAAGCCTAAAAGTGGCCTGAAAATGAAAGCCCCTGTACCAAGCGAATTATCTGTCTGGAAGCGAAGTATTGCGCAGTAGATAAAGCCACGAAGTTGTGTGCGTGTGTGTCTTACTCGATACCCATGCGCTGTATTTCTCCTCCTCGTTCATCGCCTGTTTCCTCTCATTTTGTGATAAGCGTCAGACACAAGCTCCCCCACAGACCGAAAGATATCGTGAGCAAGCTCGGAGTTCACTGCGTTCTTCACGCCTCCATAAACATGCGATCCCGCCACAGCGGCGTCCTGTCCTATCCTTCGCGCTTCTGATTGAATAACGGCCGCCTGTTCGGCGCTAGGTAGCAAATACTTATTTGCTTCCTGAATCCAACAGGTCCGCGGCGCTGGGGAGTTGTAGTAGTACTGCTGATTCTCATACTGAATTGGGTACGAGGTTCGATGCACCACCTTCTGGGAAGGTGAGACACGCGCATACACCGTAGATGCCCTCGGGGAATTGACCTGCCACTGGCGAGCTGTAGCGCCCAAGCTAGTAGCTGAGATGGTGCTGGTTCCCAAAGCTGGACCCGAAGAAAATCTGCAGCAATACACGGAACCAGGACACATCATACTCCATAGATGAGCAAACACACACAGGTGCAAGCAAGTATCCCAAAGGCAACAGAATGCTTCAGCGGCTCTGGACAGCCAGGGTGGTGTTGGCCTACACGCATAACTGCAAATTCATCATCGTGTGCAATATCTATGAGCCGAAACCAGCAGATCTATCTGGCTGAGGCACTTCGTTATGCCTATTAGTGAACACACCCTCGGTAAGTGCCAGCCTGATTAAGGACAACGAAATCAGAGTAGGGCATGGCGCCGAATCTCGTCTGTATAAGCAACTCCCCAGGACCGTCCTGCACCACCTGAATAATTTCATCGCATACACGCCAATCCACACTGTATAGAGCACGTACTATTCACTCTGAGGCTTTTTGGCCAACCGTGTATGCCTTCACCACATATTTTCTTGAACATACCTTGGGAGGCATGATAGAAGTGATTTTGGGGTCGCTGGCCTGATGTACGCTACAAAAAGCCTCTGTTTTTCTCTGCGTTTCTGTTTCTAAGCGCTGCTGCTGCCTTAGATGGTCTTGCTGCAGCTGCCTGAGAGCTTGTTCCTGCTGTGCTCTCAGCAGCTCTTGTTGCGCTTGCAGTCTTTCATTATGCCCCTTAAACTCCTCCTGCAGTTGCTTCTGCTGCTTCTGCTGCTGCGCCAGCAATTGGGACAATGCCTGCTCCTGTTGTTTCAAGCAACGCTGTTTTCTTTCTTCGTGATCTTGTCTCTGTTTCTCTTGTATTTGCATCAGCTCTTCCAGTTGTTTTTGTTGTTGTTGCTTCTGCAACTTCTCCCTGTGCTCCTTCTCTTGTTGAATCTGTTCAATCCATTTCTGTCTCTCCTCATCCCTCTTGCGCTTTTCCTCCTCCAGCCTCTGCTGCAATTCGCGTTCCTTCTGTTCACGTTGCTGCTGCAATCGCTGCTGCAGCTCCTGTAATTCCCTCTCCCGCCGCTCTTCCGCCTGCCTGCGCTGCTCCGTGAGTAGCTGCAATTGCTGTAAGCGTTTCTGCTCCTGCTGCTCATATGAACAGCGTTCTTCTTCTCTCCGTTGCTTCTGCTGCTGTAAATGTAGCATGTGCTCTGACTGCCGTTCCTCATCCTTCTGCAGCGCTTGCTTTTGGTAATAGTCTTCCTCATTCATGAGTCCATGCTGCGCCTGGGCCACTATTGGCTGAGTCTGGACGTATGTCTGTGCGTGTTGTTCCCCCCTCCGGTAATCATGCATCTGCCCACTGATATAGCTAGCGGTGAAATCAACAGGCCAACGGCTCGACGCAAGGGAATTCTCGTTGTTCAACTTTTCAAACTCGGCAAAGGGCATATCTCCGAACTTCGTTCTCATCCAAGGCTCTGAGGAAATCATTTCCTGCTGTTGTTCCACCTGCTGTTCTATCTCCTGCTCTTCCTTCAGAGCTAAATTGTGTTCTTCATACTGATACAGTGGGGCGGACGCATGCTCAACAAGGGGCACAGCGGTCCGAGGTACTTCGGACGGGATCACTTGAACGCTCTGAATCATGCCACATCAAACAAAATAAACGACATGGACCCATGAGCTAAGACCGTAGAAGGGCCTTCACACACCCCGAAGATGGATACTTACCCTCATCATTGATGGTAGCGAGGCCGTTCTCATGGGTTCTCCGCAACAGCTTTCAAACAGGCGTCTACCAGCCTTTTCCCTTGAAAGTGTCGCCACTTTCACATTGTATCTATTGCTGGTCCCGGCTGTGTTTGGTGATAGAACGAAATCTCGCCTCTTGACCGTGTGTTGCCTCGGTGTTAATGAACAGCAACCAGCCTCGTCCGCTACAGATTCCAAGCCCTCAACCACAACCGGTTGCTGCTCTTGCTGAAGCGGCTGGATAGGTGTTGTGTACCAACGCGCCGGTACAGGGTAGCCCCTGGGGCTGCTCGGGCTTGTATGAGCTTTGTTTTCTTGGTTGGCTACCCTTGGGGTTTCTGGGTTGCAGCAAGCACCGAAGATATCAGTCGAAGGCGCGCAGACAGGAGTTGAATGTTGCCTCCATCTAACAGTGCTCGGCCTGATGAATCTGCCTTCCGCAACCTTGTAGCTTGATTTTTGGACGGAGGCCGGAGCTTGGCGAATGACCTTGCTGCTCACTGGAATGTCTTTATACTTATACTGTACCTGAATCTGAGGGACTTCTACAATGCGTTCTACGGGATACGGCCGATGCACGATTCGAGGGATTTCAACAACTTTCCCTACGACCACGGGCTTGGGGATGTGCGTGATGCGCTCCTCTACAACAGGCTTCGCCACAGGCACCACTACGTCCTGTGGAGAAAGGCCACGGAGAAAACAAGCATGCACAGACATGGAAAATCATAATATAACAAAAAACAGCTGGTAGGAAGAGCAAGCAACCGATGATACAGAAGCAGCTAAAAGAAGACACAAAACGCAGGTCCCGGAGCGCTGGAAATGCGGGATTTCGCGAAGTGGGTGTGAAGTGCGCTGCGAGAGCAGGAGGCAAGCAAAAATGCTGCCAGTTGCAACATGAGGGAACACAAGACGCCACACGGCACAGAGGTGCTCATGAGGAGAGCACTTACTTGGTAGATAGTAGTAGGAACCTCCACAGTTCTTTCAACGACCTGCACTTGAGGTACAAACGTAACGACTTCTCTTGATATGTGCTTCGGCACGTGGCTGACTCTCTCTACAGTTTCATATTTAGGGACAAATTTCACTTTCTCCTTTAGTATTTGCCTTCTCTCTTCCATTATTCTCTCCCTGGGCACAATATGCGGCACCTCCACGATCCTTTCCTGCACTTCAGGGCGCCGCACCTCCACAACCCGTTCACTGAACCAAGGGCTAGTGGATGTTGGGCCTGATATAGTCAGTATCTCTCCCTGTTGCGCTGGCTGCTGCCCCCCTCCTTCGCAGCCAAGGCAGTTCGACAGGGGGCAATGCGGCTGCTCCGAGGAGAATTGCTCTTGTATCATCCTGCAGAAACGACGGTGGACCACCTCCAAGCAATTGCTTGTTGCTACAGAGTGGGCACAAGAAAGGAGTCCCACTCACGAAAGTCAGTCTAGACGACGTGTCCACAGGGAGTTGTGGGGTAGTTGCACGATCCTCTTGCTGCAGCTGGGGAAGTGCAAAAGCCTAAAGAGCCAACATCAAGATTGCCCCTTGCTTTGGGAACCTAAATAGCAATACGAGATACACCTGTGGTGAAGTTGCTGGGTGAGGGCTTTTTTGGCATCTCTTGCGCTTTCCACCAGTAGAGGTCACCAATCACAGAAACCTGAATACCTTTCTTGACCAGATTGGTTGAACAATTTTAAAAACCGAACAATACCATGAAAAACCTGTGAAAATGGACCCTGAACGTCTGTGGCTTCCGTTGCAATGTTCTTCCGATGCAGCCACTGTAGCTAGCCCTGATTTCGGGGGCCCTTTTCAAATCACCGATACATCGTGAGCTTATTTCTGAACCTCGTAGGAAGATATCCATAAAAATTAGCAACACAAAACCTTTGTTGAGCTGAAGGATGCCGGTACCAAGCTCCCGACGGGCTCGGCAAATCGTACCTGAATGGCAACACCCCGTCACGAGCCCTAGCCAACCGGCACACTGAGTCTCTGTACATTGCGGATGCTGGAATACAGGCCCTCCCAACCACTCACAATTTAATGCACTATCATTATATTCCAGGGGGAACTACAAGACCAGAGTCAGATTCGCTTGGAAGCATCCCATGCCTCCAAAAAAATGGAGTACCACTTGCAAAAAATACTACACGTTGTGGGGATATGGCAGTTGTTATGCCAGTACAATCAGTCCTGAAGGCTCTAATTCATTCCATACATATATCGTCGTGCCTTTGAAATAGCCTGCTCAACGCAAAACGGAGAACTCGCCCAGTGTGACATGAAAACCTTGAGATAGGTGTACCGTGCACTATGCAAACTACATGAGCTTATGGAATATCCACTATTTTTGCTACCAAATTATTCGAAGCTTTAAGGGCTCAAAGCTCGTAGCAGTTTAACCTATTGCCTGCTCTTAGCAAGCAGTTATGGATAACCACTGACTACCTGTCAGAAACAAGGGACACAAACAGATTGCCAAAGTAAGTCAAACTGCTGCATTCTAAAAAAATATGACAATACAAATCACAGGTCATCACGAGAATGAATGCCTTGCGCTCGAAATTGTTACTGTGCAACTAATCACTATCACTTTATTATGCTCAGGCCCCAAAACTTGAGAGTCAAGGGCAGAGCTACAGTGACACTGTTTTTGTAGTGAACTCTTCATTGCAATCCGCCATGAACTGCACGCTATGCCGCTAGTTATGCTCTTGCCTACCATTTTTGCTTTTTTCGTCCAGCGTAAGGTGGTCCCTGTGCTACACTTACCCACTTTCTACTCAACGAGTACTGTGGAAGCAGTCGTGTGTAAGCAATTCTTTAATCGGGTTGTCTATCTCCAAATCGTACTCAATAAGACGTACCTTCAATGCAATAGATGAGGCACAATTCATGTACTGTGTGCCAGAAGCCAGAAGAAACCATCGATAAATTTTCGGAGTTCATCAAGGGTGCAGCAAGACTCAAACTAGCGGTTCCTATTCTGTGTTGCCAGGGACCGTGGAAACCTTGTATGCGGAAAAAGAAAGCCATCTGAGAAAGTGCCAAAAACCCTCTTAAATCTTGATTGAATCTGGAAAGAAGTGTCCTCCTGAGCGGACCTTGAATTGGGCGTAACATTGGTGGCAATGCAGTGTTCGACGCAGCTGTTCCTCGATTATCCACTCGCTGTGGATGCAGTAGCATGTCAGGTTTCCCTATAACAATCGTCTGACTTTGATTATGCTATTTGACTTGTCAATAGGTTGGTTCTCTGTGGCAACATGATAGGAAAACAAATCCTTGAGCGATGATAGTTGATGGGGGACAACGCCTGTTGGGGTGGCAGAGGCCGGCCTGCAGGCCGAAGTGAGTGCAGCAGCACCTTAGCTAATAGGGAGGCACTATGGCTCAACCAATAACATGTTTATAGATGCAATGATGAGATGATAAAAATTAGACAAGCATGGCGTCTCCAAGCACGAACAACAACTACAAGGTATCAATGGGCGTTTAAAGGTGTACCTCGTCCCAAGGTGAAGAGGTATAAATGCCTTTTGCGGCCTGTTTATTGAGGGAACAAGCACTTTATATTGGCGCTATTCATGCAAAGAAAATCGTCTGCCTGCAGGGATTCCCTACCAGTAGGCTGGACATATGCTGGTCGTCCAGCGCACCGTATCTAGCTAATACCCTGGTATGCCCTAAGGTATGCTCCGCCGCATCTAAGACTCTATTACAGGCAGATGATATAGGACATTAGGAGGAGGCTTTGTTACAAAAGGTCAGTGTGCTGAAATTGACCAGCGCTGTTGGCCATGACCCGGTATTCAAACCGGGCAAAGATAGACGGTAGTGCGTATTTGATGACTGTAGGCCCCTGAACAAGCGTACATTGCGGATCGGAGATTTGTGCAGCCGTATATTGGCAATAGAAGAAACTACCCTACTCAACAATCTACTTGGCATTTGCCTCTACGCACATTTATCAGACCACCTATCACCCAGACGACACGCACAAAACGGCGCTCCACACTAGCACTTCCAAACTCAAGTGTACCTGAGTGGTGCTTGTACCTATAAGTGCTTCCGCTAAATAGCTGTATAGAGCTAATCGGGATTTTATGAGCCTATCAAGGATGGCTGGATGGCTGTCTAGATGGACGCTTTCCTTGTAATTAGCCCCAAAAGTTAGAATTAAGGCCTGAAGCACCTACAGCGCCTTAGGCGTGCGCTTTGGCTGTTAAAGGACTTGCAGTAGCATGTGAAGGCGCGTAGGTGTTCCTTTCATACTCGAACAACTGCCTTTCTGCGATTTCGTGTTCGGGCTGCTGGAATTCAGCCAGATCGTGCAAAATTTGAGACATGTAAGGCATGGTCTTTACCTTTGATACTATGGGCTTGATTGCTGGAACGCTAAAGGTCAAAGATCAGGATTTTACTAACGTTGTCGACAAACTTAGCAAACGCGCTCCATTTATCACATTCTCTAGCGCTGTCACGACTAAGAAAGTCGTTCACTCATTCTCAACTCATAGCTGGAAGCTCCAGAGAATTCTTTGGTGCATCAAAACGGAAAGAGATTCAAAGTTTGTGAGTCCACGCTGCCGTATATTTATGGGCAGGTTTCAATTGAAAATACTACGACCACTGATGCGAATTACCCGAAGGCAGATGGGCAGCCAGATCTCACTAATTGGACTCTTCTGCATGATTTGGCATTTAATCCAAAACAAAAAATAATCAATTTTTTGACTTGGGTTTCTTCCTTGTGCTAAGTCTGTTAATAAGGAAGCAGTGCACAGCACATCCGGAGCCTCTTTCCGATCCAAGCATGAGCCTGGTGGTTCGAGGTCAGCAGCCACATTCAGATATGCTGTCTTTTGCTTGTTTGCTTATACCTCTTTTGAGGGCTTCGACGTCGACTTGACGCACCGACGTTACTGCATATAACACCCGTATTCGTATGCAGGCATTGCTGTAGGACGCGTGAAATCACTGCTGCAGTAGTGTGTTTTTTGATTAAGTCTTGACGCTTTATTTGTCATTTATTTTCTTGTAGCAGGAGGCTGACATATTTCAACGTTTTACCGACCGCAAGCCATCGCGCCACCGAAGTCGTGTTGGCTTGTGGCCTCGTTCGTTGTCCGTTAGTGTGTCTTTTAATTCGTTGTTATCTCTTTAGCAGTAAACGAGCACTTTGCCTTTTCCTTTGCACTGTTCTTGCGCTTCCTTGCCTGCATGGGGATTAGCGATAGGGCGATAAGTCTTCTGCTATTCTGTACGCAGTTCGTCCGATCCATAACGCAACCATTAGACAATTTTGTACATAGCAGGGTCGCTCATATAATGATCCATATAAGATCTTCGTCAGGAGACACTTATCTCCAGATAAACCACACGCATGATAGGAAGCTCTTGAGTATTTTTGACAAGCGCTCTTTTCTTCGCTTACCCGCGGGCCTCAGCCTTTGTGAGATGGGAGTAAAGCAGCTACGGCTCCTGTTGTTATATCCTCCAAGCACTTCGAGCATTCACAGCTAGTTAGGCAGTTCATATACCGACCACAAGCCACTTATTAAAGTGACCTGATAAATTATCAATTGTCTGCTGATTCTTTTTTAAATATGTAGCTTACCGTGCTACAAATGTAGGCAATTAATGGCATTCTTTACATAGCAAAACGTCGAGTGAAAACAGCGCTATAGCAGGCTATCCAGTGCAACGTACAGGGGCTTAGTGCTCTGCTAACAACTTGCGCTCCGTATGAAATGAGATCCATGTGCCGCTGCTGCAATGCGAATACGTTGCCGAGGGGAAAACTCCACTTGTCTTTGCACGGACAGACTATTATTGAAATAAGCTCTCCCCACAGCATGTGCATAATATTCAAGAAAGACTAGCTCGCAAAATTTTCGTAGTTCTCAGGCTCAATGTAAGAATTGCAGAACTTCAGTGCGTTGTCTCTCGATATCGGCAACAGAAAGTTTTGTAAAGTCCAGGCCCCCATGCATAGCCTGCGGGCAAATATCCATTTGTCTACTATTAAACTTCCGATCAGCTATGTACACATACATATGCATCTATGATTTACATACTTCAAAGCATCTCGTGCAATGCATCCCCGATGGATGCGTAGCCTGCTGCAGCAGCGCCACCAGCTCCAAGGCTGATGAGCACCCATCGCTTGATCCAGTGTACCTTCGGCCCGCCCTTACGTTGATTAGGTCCTCATCCGGGCTTATATCTTCTCCAAAATATTTCTGAGCATTGCTTGTGACTTATTGAGTCGAATCGGCGGTGGAAAGCACCTGGTGATGGACACCTTAATCGGAGACCTCGCTGCTCTGCCGACGTAGCTGGCCCTGTAGTATGAGCGTACACTGGCCTTCGCCGCGGACTCCACCAGAATTCTTTGTTCTTCTGGCAAGACAAAGTGGCTGGAGTGACCAATGCAATTGCAAAACCCCCCTAGGGAACGCCGTTAATGCCTTAAAGTGAACCCGGAAGTGGCAAGCTGTCGTCAGTGCAGCTCCAGCATCTTCCATAGCCGATGAAATATTACACTGAAGAGCCACCAGTGACTTCTATAGCTGGCTGTGCTGAGACGCACGCCATGGGCGGCCCCACTGGGTCCCTCCGGCTCGTTACCGAGGAACCTCAACGGAAGAGCCTGGCCCCTGGTGGCACTACTGTGGATGGAAAGGAGACCCCCGCGGACCTACCCATTGAAAGAACCCGGCTTGAGTCCCCTTCCCCTGGAAAGTCTCTGATAGTGCGTCCAGTGCTTACTGCACATAGGCACAAGTCGATGCAGATTAGATGAAAACTGATGCGGTGTGCATTAGTAGCACTGCCTGGTATTGCTCAGCTGCCGATTTTGCTTGAGCACTTAGCAAGCCGGAATTTGCTGCGAATGTTTCTAAGGGAGATCTGGACACGCGCGCTCTTGACGATCAGCTGGACGGGCGCTGTGACATCGCAATAGTGGCAGAGCTACAAGAGGCCTTGTGGCTGGCTCAGGACCAGCTAGCCGCAGAGCAAAGTACGACCTTTAAATCAGGCAGCCTCAGTTCTTTCGCATATATAAGGCGGACGTAAATTTGCCAAATTCAGTGCTCTCCTGGCTGTGGAACGGAGTATGCCGTATTTTGCAAGGTATTGAACTTGCGGTTGATTGGCATTTCAGGACAACGGGCGACAGAGCGGCGGCAGTACGAGGTTTTCCAGGATGAAGTGAGTCATGGGATGCATTGTTGTCTGCTGCAGACAAGATTTGAGTAGTAAATCGAGCTTTAAGACCACCGTGTAAAAGGATAGATCTGTAGTGTTGTGTGTGCGGCTCAGTACCTTCGCCTTCAAGAAGAAAGCGCCAGTAATAGCAGGCGTTATACCGTTGCTGAGGTCAGCTGCCTTTTTATAAATCATCAAAGCTTATCCCATACGCATCAGCTCAAGCACCTGATACTATTAGACCCTTACTGGTCTGCCCATTCGGCTTTATTCGTTTTCTTTGCGAGAGGCACTTGTACAAACAACTTTAAGCGTCGTGAAAGAGGCTGCGCCTCAGGCTTCCGCAAAAACGTCACGCTCACTGGCAGCTACTGCAATTGAAGAAAAGGAATATTTAGCCAGATTGCTTCAGCGAACCCAAGCAGAGGTCAGTAGGGCAAGTAAAATGTGCGTACATTCTTCGAGTTTCAACGAGGCCCTCCATCCCTCCTTGGCAACCTCATTGCTGCCGTTAGCACTGAAATTTCGAAGCTTTACGTGTGCACCCTGTTCACTGCAGCTTTATAGCATAACAAAGTTCGTCGAGGACGTCATACCGAAATTCAGCCGGAAAATATGGTGAGAAGCGCTGGATCGCGTGGCAGCACTCAGCCTTTGCGTTGGCACGCGCACGAGACCTCAAGTTCTTTTCCGTTATTGTGTGTGTGCGTGTGTTGTGCCTGGTGTATGTCTTTCAGTACCCTTGTTGAGCAAGGCAATACAATGGTTGCATTGCTGGCGAGCATTTGGCCAGAAGCGAGACTCAGACAACACATCGATGAACTTGCCTTATCCGACCAGCCCCTGGCGCAAAGAGCTCTTCGATTTTCTGTGGGCACAGGACACCCGACAACTCCACCGCCCCAGCCAGTCACAGCAACTTTGCACTCCAATTCTCCTACACGTAAAGCATCTTTAAACAGCACAGGTGCTCGTCACACTGCCATTAGAGCTGAAGCAAGGCGCAATGAAGGACTGCTTGCAGTTCTGCAGCCTAAGGAGATAGCTGGTACAGGACAGCAAACCAAAACAGCCAATGCTGCTAAGGAACGCCACAATCTAGAGCATAATCCAAGAACAAATCCAGCACAAGGAAGGTTGTTAAGTGCGAATGACACCACTTCTTGCCGGTCTGCCGCCACCCGCCCACTCCAGCCACCTCAGCTTTTGTCTCGACAAGGAACGCTTCCCCAGCATACAGAAGCTCTTGCTTCCAAAACAACTCTTCCAGGCAGTGTTTCAATTGAAAAGCAGATGGACAGCAGAGCTCCTTTCCTCGGTCTGAGCGGTCACAAAAATGGCACCAAGCTTGTTCCATCGCGGCCTCCTTCTGTTGCACGCCCTCGATTACTGCAAGCCACTACCCCACGCAAGACAAAGACGCTGGATTCAAACATCTACTTGACACCCAGTCACGCACGAATTCCAACCGTGACTCTTACAGTTGCGAAAGGAGTCTCACACGGCCCAGCTGCACCGTCAGCCCGCGACGCTTCTCAATCAAGCAGGTCACATGTTACAACATCCCGAAAAGATGCACAAAGTGAGGTTTCCTCGTTCAAAAAAGACAGTTCAGCAGTCACGACCTTGACAGCCCAGAGGAAAGCCAGTGTCCGAAAGGCAAGGCTACCGAAAGAGCACAGCCTCCAGCAGCGCGAGACGCACGGGCACAGCGCTAGGCCGGCATCTGTTCGTTCAGCTTCGAGGGCTAGCACGAAGCCAACCAATGTTGCCGTAGCCCACCCTTCTGCCTCACAATCTGTGAGCGTAGGGTGGGGCCTGCGGGCTACACAACCACAGCCTCTTCCTGCTGCTCTTCAAATCGGGAGTATGCCTTGCCGAAGGAGTTGTGGACCTGTTTTCTCCAGCGGTAGGGAACAAATGCGCAGAAGGGAGTCACTGGTGGAGTTTCTCAAGGACCCAGAAGAGGAGCAATTTGCGAGAAGACTCTTTGAGGATCTAAGTCAGCTGGTGGCCATAGACACCGATGACGTGGATCCAGGTATCGGCCAAGCAGCTGTTAGCGATACAAATGTTGCCCACAGTCAGAAAAAGAAGCTTCCCCCTCTACCCCCCTCCATCAAACCGCTTGCAAACGCTTCTGTGAACGATGCTGGTCACAATGCCGACAGCGCGCCAAGTTTTACCCCGATGACAAAACCCCTTGAAGCGAAACGCATCACGAACAGCCCTATGGGATTAAAGGCTTCGAAGGCACCAGTAAACGCGCCTCCTCCAGTCTCCCATGCTGCAAGCACAAGTAGCGTGCAATGTGAAGATCTTGCAGCAGAACAATCAGAACCCATTCGGAGTGGTACAACAGACTTGGTTAAGGGTGTAGTCGGTGGAAGGCACGGTCAGACTGTACTTGCTCACAAGCCGGCAGCAGTCATACGACCCTCAGTTGTCAGCGTGAAAGGGACCCAGTGCACTGGGATTGGCACCAACCTATCGGAGCATAAGTATTCAAAAGAGAGTGCTTCTGCTTTGGAGGGCAATATCGCTGGAGTCCCAACCGCAAAGCCTGGATCTCTCATACAGGCTAACCACGTGAGTACGGCGCAACCGTCCCCACCACCGCTACCCACCTCAATAGCACCAGAAGTCCAAAGAGCTCAGTTACGGCAAACCCAACTGCCTACAACAGGTTGCAGTGGAACTCTACGCACGGCAGTGCGCCTTGTGGCTCCTGCGGGCCAAAATTCTGGCGCAGTGGACCAGCACCGGCTGCCAGCTGGGCAAGCTATGACCTCCAGCAAATGGAATAACAACGTTTTCTGTTCCGTCCCTGGACGCTCATCGCTGCCGGCTGATTACTCCAGATTTTCGCCGCCTCAGGGTAGCGAGAACTTGGCACATCACAAACAAACATGCATAACGCATGGCAGTTCGGGGGCTATGCCGTGGCTTGCCAGCACAGCTCCACAGAGGCAGACATTCGTTTTCAATAATCCCTGCAGCTACAATGCCCAGCAGCAGTACTTTTTGCAGCAGCACGTGCGTCACCAGCAAATGATGTATCAGGCACAACAAGCACAGCATCTTCAGCAAATTTTCCCCGGTCAACAGCAAAAAGATTCACCAGAATTGCAGTTCTTCATCGGATCTACTGGTCAAACGTTTGCTGCGAGACAGAGGCAGCCCGCATGTCACTCAGTGTTGAGTGCAGTGTTCAGAAGATGATGACCACGCAGAATTCAATGAGTTTCCTATACAGACTGTACGGGTTGTTCCGGTTTCCCCATGGAAATGCTTGCAGCTTTGCTTGTATCCTAAATTGTATCAAATGCAATGAAACGCGATGCTTGTAGTGATATTCTCACATATAGTCTTGCTTTCTGACGTCCTGCAGTTCAGGTCAGGCTTTAATTAGTAGCTTTGTCATATCAATGACTTAGCAGAAACCTTGTCGCCAAATGCATTATTGTGGCGCGAACACATCGTTGCAGAAGGAGGCATCTGGTTTAGATGAGATGCCAGAACCGCTGTTTCTTCGTGACTGCACAATGTAACAAAGTAGAGGGGGGCCCTGGATACAATCCCGCTGTGGCCTGCTTGCACTACCTGTGGGTCGTCGGACATCATGTATTGTTTTCTGGTGCAGGGTTTGCAAGTGTGAGGGCACTCAGATGAAATTGATGTATCTCTGCATATACAGTTGATTTTGTTGCAATTTCGCATTCCCGGTGGGATAAGTACTCTTTAGAAACCAAACGCCTGGGTAAGTGGGAAAAAGAGCTGCCTTTTTTATATCACGGCTTTGCCTCAAAGGACGGTGGAATAAGTGGTATACTTTGGCCCCTATTCATTTGTTTCGCTTGGAACAGAAATGAAGACCGAAAGACAGCGAATTCCAAAATGCATAGCTGCTCGAAGACCCTCTTAGTGTATCTGGTTTACGTATTCTTTTAAATTTTGTGAATCCCTGAACAAAGGAGTGCAAGAAGAATTTACAGTCTCAGCGAAATCACAAGTGGGCGACAACTGGAAGCCAATAGGCAGCAAAATCAAGAGGCATAATTATTCCCAAAACCTAACCAGAGCAGCCGCTTCAGGTATTCTCAAGAGCTTGGTGAATCCTTGAACAGGGCGGTGGGCGCAGATATTATACAGTCCCATTATCTCAGTGTAGGCATTTGAAGGCAACAATGGATTTCATTTTCACCCAAGAAGACATAATAGCATCTCGATGAGTTGGATAATGCTCTCAAGATCTTGTGAGCCATTATATGAATGCTGCTGAACCAGTCGATGTTGCATGACAAGCGTGGATCGGGAGTCCTAGTAGTCGCTCGTTTTATCTATCCTTTTCCTTTCAATGCATGGAGCAATTCAGTTAGAACAAGCTCAGTTTATTTTTTGGTAAGCTTTTCCACACGGCAATATGTTTAGCGGCGATGTGCATTCAGCGTCCCGTACGAAGAGGTGTAGGTAGAAACGCGACAGTGAGCTGGCTAACAAGTATCGCTGCAGCAGTACATTGAGTCAATACAATTCCAAAGCTGCGATACACGTCTATATATTTGTTTTTCATCCCCCAAGTTTGACTCTGTACTAAGTGACCGCAGTCTCAAGGGCCCTCCGCCGGCAGACCAGAAGAATACTCGGAGCTTACGGCAAATGAACGTATTTCGCGCATGAAATTGCTCAGAAGACATGCATTACCCGGCAGAACCACAATCAGGCTTTGAATTGTCAAATACTAAGCATGGATGTGTGAGCCTTTTGGAAAGTGTATGATGCGTCTCGCGAACTCTGACTCGATGGGGCAATGCACTGAAAGGGCGAAGATGCACTGTTCCTATGCCCGGTCTGACCACAAGAGATCAAGCTGAGGGCATCAAAAAAGACCAATACTTCTCCTGAATATAATTTGCACCACGGCACCTGCGCAACCTTTTTATATTTCAGTTGCGTCGAACCCACTGTGCAACAGGGAGAGGCTTGGCATTTTCAGTGACAGCCGTCATCTCATCCTACGAGCCCACCAGCAGTGGTCTTATCTTGAGACCTGGTCACGAGTCTTGAATGCATGGAGTCAGATTCAATCGATACGGAAGATGAAGAGGCTTTGGACTAGGGCAAACAGCAAACCAACAGAAACGAAGAACGACACAGGCGAGAGGAGCCCTGCCAGAGCTGAGTCCCTCCCAGTGCACCGCTGGCTGCAATCTCGTCATAACTCGTTCACCAGCGAAGCCACTTGTAGGAAGGCTGAAGATTCCCTTTGCTCCCCCCCAAGCACTCACAGGGATCCCGTCGGCCGTAAGACCCTCAGAAGTAGCCCCTTTATAGTGCATTCAACCTTCTTGATACATGCTTTTTCGATATAGACTGTAATCTGAGCTTTGCTCCATAGTATCAGGATTGTGTCCATGTTTTCTAACTAATGAAACCAAAGCTCGTACTTCTTGAATTCGCAGCCTGCAGTAGTGAGCACTGCCAGGCCGTAGTGGCTCGGCTCCAACACCAGCTACAAAACCTAAAAGAAGAGAAATCCCAACTGGAATCATTGATATCCATGCAGCGGCAGACCCTGCACCAAATTGATCGGGTGAGATTTTATGTACGCTCCGAAGTTATGTGTTTTATTATTCATTAAGAATCGTACAAACTAGATGTCACATCTGAATGTGTAGGGATATGTGGACCCACAGGACGGACGCACTTCAGAGGAGGTCGCGAGGCGCCAGATTGAGGTTCAGCAAAGGCTTGCATTGGTACTGAAAGATGAAAAGGCAAGTGCACATTCAGCTAATGCGAATAGTGTTTGGGTGCTTCACTGATTAGACCGTTGCTACTCGCTCTCACGCTTTTAGGATGCAATTCAAACAGCTGGCACGAGCATCTGGTCAAGCAGGCTGTGTTATATGGTAACCGATGATTGCCAGTACTTAGGTGATCCGATCGGACCGATTTCGCAAGGTAACAGGCATACCCTTCCTTTCGCCTCTTTCATGCACTGCCCCCTCATACCAGCACAGACAAGGTTGCTCGAATATTATAGCTTCAAATATGAAACTGAGGGGTGGACTATTGCTGGAATTGAGGAGGTTGCAACTGTTTGACTGGCGTGAAAACCAGGTATCCATCGAGGAGAAGCTTACGAGCTCCAGCGATGCCATCCAAAGTCTTAATGAGCATATTGTAAGCAGTCACATTTACTGGGGTCTTGATTTAAACGGGACACACAGCGAAGAATCGTTGCACTGTCTACGAATGCTGTATTTTTCATCAACTTCGCTTGTTTTCAATTGAGTTCCTTTCCGTCGATTGCATGAATCATGCAGATAGACCTACGAAAGCTTCTAGAAGCCAAGGACGAAGAGGCAGAAAAGCTGCGGACTGAATTGGCCGAAGTACACGAGGCGGAAAGGCAGGCCAAGAAACTGGCAGCGGTAAGTATGGCCGACCCTTCCAATGGCGCCAAACCCTATTCAATATCTTTTGGCCGTTCTTTTAAGGACAATTCATATACTGTGTACTACATACTGTGCCTAACTTCAGGGGACCGTGTGTCTAAGTGCATGATGCTCATGCTGCCACAGGAGGAAACAGCAAAATTTGCGAAGGCATACGCTGATCTTAACGAACATACCAACCACTTGAAGCTGCTTGAGCAAAAGCTGGGGGCCGTGGAAGTGCTGTTGCACCCGGATTCTCCTAAAACGGAGAAGTCATCGGTAAGGAGAAACGTGCGTTCTATCAAACCAGAAGGCAAGTAGCTTTTGTGCTTCGCCAGGATGCTTTATAGCTTTGGTCGTAATTGCGGTTGAGTATGTAAGGGCCTCCTGAAGACACCAGAATGCGTCTGTAAAGTTTGGTGAAAAGTTTGGGGAACTTTGACAAAGGATTGCTCAGTACTAGCTTTAAGCACATCAGTGGTGAGGCTGCCGGGTTGCTTGTCGTTTAGTGGTGGGAGTTGTTATGTGGACACCTGGAAAGGCATTGATTCACTGCTTTTTAGCTTGTTCACGAGAGGTTGCGACCCCAGATCTACAGATACTACGGTTTCACGCCTTTAGGAGTACGCATATAAGCATTTTGCTAGCGCGCTGGCCGGGGTTCAGGAGGGCGTAATGAGCCCAACACATCAGCTGACAGAACTGCAGAACAAATCAGCGGCGAAAGTGCATTGCTGCCTGCTGCTGTGGTGGGTTTCTGTGGTCTTGCGCGTCTTCTGTTCAAGTGCCGAGCTACACAGGGGGAAGAACTAACAGTCACATCTGCACTGCATCATGCATTGTGTTGGGTGTGCAGGACTCAGTGAAGAAAGATATTCCACTGAAGATCTGTAAAGAGTCATCAGGGGATCTTCAGGAGAAAGCTGAACCGTTGTTGCATTTTGGTGCCCCCAATAAGCTAGAGGCATTGGTTACCCGAATAGTGAGCAACCCATGCCAAGTGTGTTTAGATTTTTAGCTTGACTCATGCGCCTTCCGGCAGTTTTGGCTAAATGAGCATAACTTACGTAGAATTCGCTGGAGATGCTGTTCACGCTTGAATGTTCGAGTGTCCTCTCTGTAACAGCTCCATTTTGGTGTTTTGGGAAAGGATTGCGTAATTGAAGAGTGAGCTTTGAGGCACCACGGCAAGCCGGTTTCATCCGGCGTTGCTGGGAGCACTAGCGGTTGTGACTCTTGGGGATCACCTTTTATGTATCACGGATAGTGCTGAAGTGCTAACTGTGTAAGGCGTAGGGAAGGCAAGCGTGTATGCATCGCTATGTTGTTTTGCCAGTTTGCTTGCTAGAAGGTTAATACTTGCAGACCTTATTGCTGCCCGCAGGCTACGCTAGTAGAAGAGATACATGAGGCGCGCGCGAATGCGGCCAGCCTGAAACGTCAGCTGACACAGACTCAAGAGAAGGCACAGGTGGGCTGGAGCAGTCGGGCATTCCCGGAGTTTTTATGTCCACACAAATAGGCTGCGCTTTTCATGGGATTTTACACTAAACATAGAACCTTCTTCTTTTCCCTTACCGCCTCCGATACCGTGGGTTTGTCAACACTCCGGTGGTGAAGGAGAAAGATGTCGAGCTGGAAAGCCTGCGGAAGTCTTTAGTGAAGCTTCAAGAAAAGGCGGAGAAGGCTGAATCAGTGTTGCGGCTGGGTTCGACTGACAAGCTGGAGTCCTTGGCAACCCGGAACGTGAGTTTGTTGAGAACGAATGCATGGTTCGGTTAGCTGTATTTGCTTATAGTGTTGTCTGGTTGTTGGTTGTGATGATATGGTTTGGTCGCTTGTGTTTAAGCGACTGTTGAATTTGCGTTGTACCTTATATGTGTGGAAGATTTTTGCCAATCTGGAGAGCCTCATAGCCTGAACTAATGTGAAAGCACGAGCGTCAAAGATTAAGCTAGGTGCTCGCTGAGTCCTTGTCGATGACTGTTGCAATGCTTGTGTGTAGATTGGTGGAAAGATGACTGCGCGCGACGCCATTGCTTGTGTACATGCATGCATGCATTTTGGTTCCTGCTGCTGTTCTGCAGTCAGAGCTAGTCGCCGAGCTGGCCGAGAGAGAGGAGAGTGTAGTGAGCTTAAGGCGCCAGCTGACCGAGACGCAGGGGCAAGCACAGGAGGCAGAGGTGCATTGCTTCATCCATTTGACTGTGGAGGTTGCGTGGGACGGGAGAGCTCTCTTTCTGCTGGAGTACACTTGGAACGTGGGTGGGTATCAATGCATCTGTCATACGATATAGTGCGTTGGATGCGTAGGCATTGATGAAGGAGAAAGATGTCGAGCTGGAAAGCCTGCGGAAGTCTTTAGTGAAGCTTCAAGAGAAGGCGGAGAAGGCTGAATCAGTGTTGCGGCTGGGTTCGACTGACAAGCTGGAGTCCTTGGCAACCCGGAACGTGAGTGTGTTGAGAACGAATGCATGGTTCGGTTAGCTGTATTTGCTTATAGTGTTGTCTGGCTGTTGGCTGTGGTAGTGAGGGTAGAGTGGTTTGTGCTTCAGGCGGCACTTGTTTTTCATCTGCGCTCGTATGCTCACGCGTAGAGAGCATGTGAGAAGCGACAGGATGTAAATATGCAGGCGCAGAAGAGCGTTTTATGAGGCTGGGTGTATAGAGTGAGGCCTGATGTTTGTTGTCTTATGTGTTCATGCACGTTCTGTCGCCTGTTAGTGATGTTAAGCATGTGGATGGCACTTTTATGGGTGCGAGTGGGTCTGGGGTCGGTTCTCCAGGCAGTCTTTGAGTGTGTGCGCGTGGGTTGCAACATATTTGATGCGTGTAGTTAGACCCAGTCAGTGAATTCATTGCAAATAAGGTATTATAAGCTTGTTCAAAGAGAAGCTGGTGAAGGCATAAAGCTTCAGGAAGACCTCCAAAAGAAGCGTGGTGTTGTGTAGCGGCTGCATCCCTTAAAACCTCGTCCATTCAAATATGCGCATCTCGTTGTTGCACCTTCAGTGTGCTCTCGAATTCAATAATGTAAAAAAACTCTCCATCTGTTTGCCTGTTCTTACTTGGCAATTACGAAATTCCACTGAATTTGTGCTCTGGATGCGCATTAGGTGGGGGAACCCGAATCCGACGGCGCACGATTTCCAGGCAGTATGGAGGAGAGGCTTTCGCAAGAGTACTCTTTTGCACAGAAGCGTATCAACCCGACTGAGCAGGCAGCTGCGGAGGACGCACAACATAGTTCCATGCTTAACAGTGTGGCTCAAGAGGTCGAGAGACGCTTGCAACAACAGCTACAAAGCATAAAATGCGAGCACGAAAAGCTGAAGAAAGAGAACAATAAGCTAAAGCAAACGCTCATGAACGTCGCCCAAAAGACTGTTGATAAAGAGAACGAAATCCAGCTCAAGGAAAAGGAATTCGAAGCTCTTAGAGGGAAATTAAAAGCCGCAGCCCATAACGCCGAAGGCTGCAAGTATCTTGCACAGATGGAGAAGGAAAGGCGCATCGCCCAAGTGACTCATCTCAGATGCAGGCTGGCTGAGTCCGAAAGGCAGATACAGCAGCAACAAGTCCTTTCAAATATGCAAAAGTATGGTCGTAATATGCTCTAGCTTAGGTATCCCTTGCTTCAGTGTTGTGTTCATAGTGTAGCCTTTTCACTAAAAACCCCGTAGTAGTAACTCGGAGGCTAATGTAGTCGGAATACGAACATCAAAAAGCCATCTTCTCTTGTCTCAGTCAAGCGTAATTTTTCGCTTATTGCGCAGGAAAGAGTCCGTAAAACCTATTGGAGATCTCCAGCAACACCGAGGCCAGTTTCATCCTACCGAGCCTCTTATATCTGTGCATAGTGCATCAAAACCGCAATTTGAAGCAAGTTCAATTAAAGTGCTTGCTTCGCATACTCATATAGATTCCGGGAAGTCAGGCTTGGGTCAGCGCTCAAAAGGCGATATATCCCAGCTAGTGCGCATGGGCGACACCCAAATGTTCCGTAACATTTTACTAGAGCCGCAATGTGATTCTGTTCTCAAGATCGTTATGCCACGGGCACCCAGAACATAGCCCCACTTGATCGCACTGCTAGCCAAATGCTGGTGTATATGAGGATCTGTCGTGGCCATGGGATATGTACAGGTACACGGTGGTGCGACTCCACCTATTATAGGTACAGTCTATTAGTCTGCTCTAACTCACTGACATACAACTCTACAATCTGTTTCCATGGCATTCAAGCATTCCGCTGGCGATAAAGGCCCTACTGCGATAAGTTTTGGTGCTATTGTGGCGTTCCCAATTAATTGCTGGCAACAGCCACTTTGTCACTTCTAGCAGTTAATCATCTCAAAGGCCTGCTACCGTAGGTTACGGCGTTATGATGTGTACCGAATCCCTAACCATAAGCGCACCTGCGCGTAAGCTAAGCGAGACAATATTTAGGACTGAAATTATTTGTCTGTAGCTATAATTAAGCAAGTTCGTGCAATGCAGCATACGGAGCAACAGAATACAATTGGGGAGTATTGAAATAACTAGTGATAATGATACGCAACTCTTCTTGGCTAAGTGTAATGCCTTCTCAATAACTGTTGACACGAATCTTGGGATTTTCAGGCGTGTTCAAAATACGCTCAGCCAGGGCATGTGAGGTCAGGGGCTGTGCTAGGAAGTGAGTTCTGCTTGCTCCATTCACGACGTCACGCGATGCTACGGGTGGCTCAACACTATTTCATTCCGCCATTCATCGTTTCTAAGGCCTCGTGTAATGTCTCTTTCAGTGAGAATGTGCTGCATGCAAATATAATATATGCACATTGCATAGATATTGTGCACCACTGGACAAATCGGCATTCGCCAGCTTTAGATCGCCACAGCTGTATTGGAGTGCCCCATGAAGTATCCCGTGCAAATCGTCGTAGTGTTGTGCCGAAGGCCATCGGCTAATGCACATATCATGGAATCCACTATTGCAGAGGGGCAGGTTATCCACTTTTCGTTGCAGCATCCGAGCGTGTGCGTGCCGCGGGCTAGAACCCACCAGCTGCGAGTCATATACGAAACCTTGGTTGTTGGCGATGTTTGTGAAGCAGCTTCTGTGGATCCGGCTTTTCGGAATGGGAGTGGGCTTTTGATTGCACGGTGGTGAAGTTAAGAACCGTGGGGCAATTAACTGTGCAAAAGCAACAAGAACATTGATTGATCAAGCTCTTACTGCGTAAATTCGAAAATCAAAGAATGATGTAATATTCCAAGTAGTTTGGAGGAACTTATGCATGAAATAAGGTTAAACTGCACAATCCTTGGAAATATGTTGGTAACTTAATAGGTAGGAACCGCAATCTTAGCGGCAGCGGCAGGTTGCGCCCGCAAGCCTGGTAGGGAGCATTCTCACCGTCGTACCTTCAAAAAGAAAAGTAGCTTTTCTTTTTGCTGCACCAGGACAACAAATAATTTGTACCTTTCAACCACTGGTAGTGCTGGATCACTACCTGTGAATTTTCCATGAGAAAAATTCGCAAAGAGGAAGATCTGACCCGGAGGCAACAGGCGACAGAAATTTTTAGCCATTACCATAACCAGCATACTATGGCGAAAGACAATAAACATACTGTATTTAGAAAGACGGCTCTGACTCATGGAAGTAGAAATCGCACAAAAAACTAAACGAGGCCTCAAAATGTGTGGACTAACTGTTCGCGCGCACCAGGGCGCCTTTTTCACCCGCACTACTGGGCAAGCTTATTGCTAATAGTTGCAGTATAGTAGAGGAGCTAATGATTAAGTCTAGATTCCATCACTATCTTAAAGAGGAAGTCAAAAACCTAGCTTATAGCGGTAGGTGTGAGAAACGCAGGTACACGCAACAAGCTTCGAGATAGCGAGGCGCATCAACCCATGCACGTAGCCACACGTGCGTTGTATATTATTTGTAGTTGAACTACGCTTGGGCTCGCTAGCGCAGAACCGAGGGACTGGGTTAATTTTATTTGCAACTCCAGTTCCTCGCGTTTCACGTGCCATCTGGCCCTCGTTGTCCGAATGCAGGTTCTAGGTTGTCAATCCACATCTCACGCCACAAGCCACAAGCATACTACCAGAGTCCCCAGAGCATGCCGTGTTAGTGTAATAGTATCCTTTGGTAGCTCGAAAACACTGCACTGGCAATAGCTTTCCATGATGCTGCTCTCATCTGCTTTGGCATATTCGGCAGAATAATCGAAAGTTGTCGGTCTATGGGTACTAAACAGCATCTAAGTGTGGTCCATATCTAATGCCACAAGCCGCACGTAGGCGTTGTTCACGTGCTGTGCCATACCATTAACTATTAAAAAGCAGTTCCGGACGAAGGGCCACGTGATGTTGGACTCCATCGCCACAAAAGCTGCCCCATTAAAGGCAATTTCCACACCAGAGACCCTCAGGTGAGGCATTGCTTACTCTAAAACTCTCGGATGCAGTGGCCGAAACTATGTTGCATCTCCTATAAAGGGGCAGCTGGGACAAATAACTGGTGCGCATGCCGCCACAACGGTAGTCGCATCCAGCTCGTGTTTTTGTGCGGCAAGCGCCAATCCCATATAATTCCGATCGAAAGGGAACATTGGAGCTGCTTGGAAACTCCACTGAGACCGTGTAACTTCCAGAGAACAGCTGCACAAGCCGAGGGATAGCTTGCATGGAATCCACGTCGATTCCGAATTGAGTAAAATAGGTCCAGCAATCGCCTTTGTGTTAGTTCTCTGGTACTGAACGACACCGCTTCGATGCGCTTTGCAGTAAATTTCTTAATCTTTCTTTTTTAGAGATTTTGAAAGCTTTTTCTCCCGACTTTTTGTTCCTCCGCACATGGCCACGCATAGACAGGTCAACACGGACCCCATAATGCAGCCGAAGCTGAAAAGTAGAAAGAGGGGGATCGGAGACTGAATGAAGACATCACGTAGCTGATAAACTGCCGACAGGATTTCGCCTTTCATAGTATCGAAGAATGACATCACTGGTGGAATTGGCTGCAGAAGCACCCACAGATGGGTTGCAGAATCATGCACTGGGGTTAGCATAAAAGTAAATAAACTTTTTCACGGGTTCTTTCGGCCGGGCAGGGGCTCCAAGCTAACCTGGGGAGTGGCTTCCCTCCAGCCACCTGTCGCAAAAGCGTAGAGCGCATCAACACTGCGCTTGCCCTTGTGTTCGTACATTTGGCCCTACGAACAGCAAAGCACGCACATACGGAACCTGAGAGCACATATCTTGGAATGAGTAAATCAAAAAGTGCGAAAGATGATATGCACACCACTCACTAACTGCGTCCCAATGCAGCACTCAACAGAGAAAATAAACAAATTCTGCCCCTCACGTCTTTTAGAAAAAGTAGAGTAGGAAAGCCCTTTATACCGAAGCGTGTGGCTGTATGTGCGTTCGCCGTGGCGTCGAGATCTGCAACATTGATTTGCCCTTTCAACATTGACGCCAATTCCTCCCATGCCGGGGTCATGCTACGGCAGTGGCTGCACCACGGGGCGTAGAACTTCACAAACCAGTCTCCTACAGCATTACCCAAGCCCACAAAGCAATGGAAAGCTTTCCTGTGGATTAGAGTGTTCAGCATACTGTATTCAGTGTCGTACGCATAGATACATGCAGATTGGCTCAGTGTGTATAGTTCATAGTGCCCCTATTATATCCATTCACTAGCACTTCGCACTCAAGGGCAAGCCCAAAGTCCCTAAAATGGTGCGATTCGGAGCCAAAGACGAACTGTGGGGAGCCAAAATGACCATTATGAGCAAGACAGCTGCACCAGGCTGGGTATTTTGCTGCCGCGCACCTGAGGTAGAGCCGGTTACTGCCTGAGTCTCCCGTTCAAAATTTGCATCCGTAAGAACCTGAACGTCTTTATTCGAGGGCGCAGCAGGGCTTCCAGACTTCGCTGCAGGTATAGGAGCCGACGCAGCTGCCGGATGGATGGCGTTCCTGCTGTACTCTTCCCACAATGTGACAGCCGTCACCAAGCACACAACACGCGTCAGAATGTTCATTTTTAGCAAATTAAAAGAATACTGCATACGTATATCGGAGAAGACAGAGTAGTGCGGGGAAGAGACACGGTAAAATGCAAATGTCTGTTGGCCGCTTGAACAGGGGAGTGCCAGAACAACACAGCAGCGACGTCGGTCCCACATGCGTTGTACCCGCACGACAAATCGGTTTAGATTGTATGCAATATATGTGAAAATCGTACTGTTTGTGCTCAAATAAGGAGTTTTATTACCAAGACAGAAATACTTTCAAGCCGTGTACAATACTTTATGAACGCTTCCCCGCAACAAGCTTACATCCCACCGTGCACCTCTAGTCACTGGACTCTAAAACAAAAGCCTCCATTCACATTGATCTAATACAACCTTTCTGCAATCCAGATATTCAGAGCTGCATGTGAGGAGATATGAATAGCAGGATCCTGCAGGTATCGAGGCGGGCTCCTGGAATGCAGCTCATGCTGCTGACCGTTACGAGCTAGTTACACTTTAACACCTTCTGTTACTCGAGTTATATCAAAAACCATCTGTATATGGTGGGTAATTGGCTTGTCTGCTCTTATTTCGAATTAATTGCAGACTACTGTCATCTTGATACAGACATATGGGATGCTGCGTACATGTGTGCTAAATGCTATTTGCAACAAGCCGCGAATGTTTGGAGTGCTTACATGGTGCAGCAACCCGCATCGCACCTGTGCCCTTTCCTCTTATTTCGTTAGGGCCGAAGGCAGGGGAGGAAATAAATTTTTCCGGGGAGCAATGAATGATTTTTAAATGTTGCATAGGTATTGGATTTGGTCTTCCTAGGGGGCTCTACGATCGAGCACTTGGTGGAACCACACAATACGGCGAAGCTGCTTTGTGCTCATCCATTCGATGTGAATGCAATAAGATATCAGGTTGCTCTGCAACTGTAGCCCGTCACAACTCTCCCCACACTGGAAAACACACATCTTCATGTTCTGTACATGTCCTGCGAGGCTAACTGCATGCAGGACAGCCTACGACTTCCTGCCCTATCTCTACTCTTCAGGCGCGTAAAAACGCGGAAAGTGCATAGATGAAAAAAACAAATGTATGCATGAGCCACTAAAGTGAAACCTCTGAAAAACGGAGCACGAACTTACCAATAACGAACGAGTGACCAAACCAAAGCGACCGCAGCGGCTGGCTATCTTGGGTCGAACGCCTAAATGTGTGCGCCTCCTGCTACCACACAACACAAAACCAGTAAATTGTGCAAAGCGAATTGAAGTACACATTAGTTCAGCAGTGTCTCGAAGACTCGGAATGAAGGTCTGCATGCACATACGGACGATGCATACAACACTGTCAATTTTATGCCATAAAGGCAGCGAAAGGAAGAATGTAGAGACACCATACCTGAGACCGCTTGCCCACAATACTGGCTGCAGAGACCACCTTGAGGATGAACAGTAAATTAAAAGGGAGAACCCATTCACCATGGTAAGTATTTGAGGCCGAACATGCGCTAGGAAACGACAATCACCAACGAACGTGAGGAATACCATCCATGGTAGCTAGCGCTGTTAGAAAAAAAACATAGCTGCAAAACCTCGCACTTAAGAAAAGCCCGCAGCTGTTCTTCCCTCAGCCCAGGCACACCACGGCAGGGTATGTTTCTAGAAATGGGGCGTCACAGTTTAGCAGTTGGCACTTTGTCCCCCACTGGTTACATGTACTTGGGAAGTAGAAAATAAGTAAATGATAGTTTTTTCTGTTTATATCCTTTTTTTTAGAGTAACCTTCGCTCAACACTACAAGAACCCATGTGTGCGCTGGATGCTACGTGCAGCGAGTTATGAATGCTCAAAATGCGAAAAGGAAACAACAGGTCACACCTTAGCCCTTCCTCTCAACTTGTCAGGGTCTCTGATGGTAGCAAACAAGAGAATATAGCTCCTTTGGAAAACACTAGATATCCCTCTATCAAGTATTCAATAAGTCTGCGGTTACATGCCCCCTATAGAGACCCTAGTCATGGCGATGCAGTCTTGGAAGTGGCGAATGGGTGGGAGCTCTTTTGCAGTCCGTGTACAACGCCTCCCGGGATAGCTAAGGATTCCAAATATCTGTTTTTTGCAGTATTGGAGGTCTGTTGGGGGAATGTGTATCAGTCTGAGTTGGTTCGGGGCACTTCCTACTACATTAGCCTTTGATCAAAACGTATTTAAGGTTCGACTGTGTAGTTCGGCCGTTTGTACATGGTATTCTATGCAGAGTAATTTGTGCAATACCAAAGGAGTTGCTTTACATTATGGTATGCTAGTTGCAGTGTGAAGCTGTGTATGAACAATCCAATTGCTGAACAAGTACAAGAAAGCGCACCTTTGCTCTCCGTGTTCACTTTTGCCTCAGACACCCATGCGTGAATGCAGGGAAAAGGAGAGCTCTTTTAGAGGGATGCCTCGAAGCTTTTGATTATGTTTCTACTGACTTTGGATTCACGTCTCTCCCTGGGAAAGCTTTTGGTGGAGAGTTTAAGGCTAAAATGAGGCCTATTGTGACTACTCACAAGTTATACAATGGCTATTCAGCATATAGGCATACATAGCATATCACCATTGCGAGGACATTGGCATGCCTCACGCATGAGATAGTCCAAGGAGGTTATAAATAGGGGTTTTGTTGCATGTAAGCTCACCCTTACAATCTAGCACAATGGCAACTTAGCAGCGATTCGGGCTTCTACTGGCACAAGCATGCATTCAAAAAGCCATGTCTTGTAGATTCAGAAGCATCAATGGCTGAAAAAACCTGGGAAGGGCTACTGGCACCATGTTATGCAGTCCGTGCTTTGTATCTAGGGCAAAATAGCTCCGGTTTTGAAGAAAAAACACTACAGCGGGAATTACGCCCCTTCTTGAAGGGGCCTGTTTCCGAAGGAATATGACATAAATCCGGGAATTTGCACGCACTTTCGCCCGACATATGGAGAAAGTGTTAAACTTAGTAGACATGCAAAAGAGTGTTGCTTTAACCTGAATGGCACGGCGCCGCAAATTCAGGGTTCTGAGTTCGTCAAGGGGGCCCCAGGGGCCCCATCCCGTTGCTGTTTTCCTGATCGTTGTTCTGCAAAGTATAAACCCCGAAATTTCACGTGTGCAAGAGAACGCGAAAGTTAATACCGTTTTGTCCTGCTTGTTATAGAAGTAGTGCCCTCGTTGACTGCGGCGAAAAGTGGTTCCTCTAAGGATAACCCAAAACTTTGGGGGGAAAATAAATTGAACAACATTACTGTCTTGCCCCCAAATTTCCACTTCAGTCCAAATTTCAGGCTTTTTATGCATGTGAAAGCAATAGCAAGCGCACAGGGGTTGCATTCTAGCCGTACATCTGTTGGATATTGACATACACATATACCTCGTTTGCCTGCATCAGGGCTCGACGAGCGAATCCAGTAAAAAAGAATACTTTACCCATGCACAATCCTGACAGAGACATGGGCGAGCGCTGATTTCTTTTCTCCTTCAATGATGCGGCAGGCACTCCCTCTGGTGTTGTTTTCCCTTACCTTCTTCTGGGGAAGAGCATCATCAACAGCTTCTGCAGGCGAACCCGATGGCATTATACCAACACAGAGGAGCCCAGGAGCCCCAACTGCTCCAGATAATTCGAGTCCCCAGCCCACTGGAGCACAAACGGGAAAGAAAGCACAGACCAAGACTGGCTTGGAGAACAACGAAGAACATGAGCCAGTACTCGTGTCTGCAGGCAGTGCACACAAGCCTTTTCTTGGGCGATTTAGTTCAACAATTGCTCTACAGGACTTTATGCATGCTCGTCAGGCATCTGTTGACGGCTTGGTGGCGCTGCAGTACAGCGTGTACCTGACCCATGCGTTAATCCTCTCCAGCGCAGAAATGGCAGCTCACGACTTGAAGCGAATGCCGCTGCACCGTTTCGGTGCACCCTTAACACCGGACCAGGTGGTTGAGGTACCTTTAAGCACTGTGGGTGGCCTTCGCCCGTTTCATCTGTTTGTGCTTTTCACTTTTGTTGAGGGTCACACTGAGGGAGTTGCAGAGCAGCTCAGCAAACAGTGTAAAGACTGCGCTGCGGCCATAAAGACGTTCCGCAAAGTGTCAAAAGCCTACAAGCTTTCGGGTAAGCTTGGTATCCCTAGTTCTATCTTTCTTCGTTCTTGTATTTCTGCCCTTCGGCAGCACCAATCACCCAGGCCCCTATTGCATGTTCGAGAGGTCATTAGTGGGTGGTTCCTTTGTTGTTCAGTATCTTTTCGTTTGTGTGCTTATATGGTCTTTTTTTAGATTCAGAGCCTGGTAACGACGACCTTTTCCCTGTTATATTTGGTGTTGTCAATGTGGGCACACGGGATGGTGCGGCAATTTCGGCTATTCATCCTGCAATGCAGCTTCCCGTAGCTCTATACTTGCCGCCAACGTTTTCTTCTAGCGTTGAAAACCGCAGAGACAGGAGCTCTTCGAGCTCAGGTGTATCGACAACTGTGGCGGCGGAAGATAAAGCGGTCGAGGCAGAAGTGGACAGGGGCAGTCTGCATGTTGCACTTCATAAAATAACTTCTGCCGAGTTTTTTACTGAGACTCTTGGGGAATGGGAAGAAGACGCGGTGCTACGCGACCTTTTGCTGCAACAACAAAAGCAGGGAATCCATGGGAAGGTCCATTTCTTCTCCGTCCCGCAAAACCACCTTTTGCTCCTCCAACGCCGCAAAAATGAAGCATCTCCTGAACAGAAACTGCTGGAATGGGTCAATGCCCACACAAGCAGGCATGTTTCAACTTTCTGATTCTCGATATCCCGCTGAAAGATATTCGCATTCTTTAGCAGGTCCAAGTCTGGCCATCAGTGCACTCATCAAGTATCTGCCCAGAAAATCACTTCGGGGCTTACACAGAGAGGATCAGTTTTGTTGAAGAACCCGCTCCGCATGTTGCTGTCTGTGCCTGCAGACGCGTAACCTATGTGAATGGCACAGAGCAGCCACAAGGCCAACAAGACTGGGGAATTGTACTTCTGCCTTTGGTGCCTCCTGTGTTAGTGTTGCTGTGGTGGGTTGTGAGTCGCGCGGTGTCACTGCTTCGCCGGAACAAGTGGCTGATTCCTGTTGGAGGAGTTGTGGCGTACACCATGTGTAGCGGAGGTATGGTCTTTAGCATAATTCATTCGGTGCCTTTTATGGGGTACGATGAGATAGGCATGCGGTATGTGTTGCTGGCCCCAACGTCAAGGGCACAGTACCTCTTAGAAGGCCTGCTGATTTCGTCCTGCTCTACGCTGGCGTCCCTCGCTGCCCTGGGCCTCCTGAGAACCCCTTACCTAGCAAAAACAGCCGTATGCAGCCCCTCTACTGATAAGGGTGAAACTGGATGTAGCGTCATTAGCACATCAAACGGCTCCCAAGAGATGGGTAGAGGCGCAACTGGGGTAGACAGGTGGCAATGGTACGTTGTTCTTGCGTCATTTACCCTGTTGGTATCGCTTTTTGTACTATGCGCTGGGTTTGTCATGCAAAGTTACAGAAGCAAATCTGTCTGGTACTCTCCCACTTTCTGGCCCAGTCCCCACCTACCGACGGGTCCTCTTAGAAGGGACTGGGGCAACGCATTTTGAACAAAGTTTATTTTCAAACAACGGGACAGGAGAGGCAGTTTCTTGTTTTTGTAAAGTAGATTTAAACGAGTAATCCGTTATTCCAGCAAAATCGCATGCGTGGTGCTTACGGGACGTGAAAAGGGGCACGTGAGTGCCTTGCACTGGTCGTCGCCAGGTCTGGCTGTTGGTATTGCTGCTCTGCATGATCCTCATGGATCAGAAGGAATCTGTTGTATATGCAGGCGTTAGTTTCCCCTGAAACTTCCTGCCACGAACTGTAGAAATTGCAGTTTTCGGCAGAGCACAGTCAAACGGCAATGAATAAACGTTTACTCCTGAGTAATGTGGCTTCCCCTGCATCTAACAGTTCTGCGTAAAGTTGGATCCGCTCAAGATAACGTACCGATCCTAGTCCTTCCATGCACAACGCACAGGCCACTGAAACTCCACTAGACCCTGCAAGATGTTTGTCCCACAGTCGCTCCTTCCCAATGTGGCTTACGAGGCGGGGCTGATTGACTGGAAAACTCATTTGAGCAGGAAAATATTTCAAGTTGAATTTGGAGCCTTCAGCGTTGTTTTGGGTCACGGGCTTCTGGTCTAGCGGGCTGAGATGCCCTCCCGCATCTTCTACGCTAGTAATGCAAGACATACGAATGGAGTAATTGACTTGCCTCTTCGTAAATCTTATTTCCTGCATAGCCGTGTTGACTCAATACAACTTTACGCAATGTCGTGTGCCTCTGCACTCGAAGCTGTGTGCAACTAGGTCTAAATGTTCGGAATGCCCACAATGTGGGCAACTACGAGCACCCTACCTGCCCCTTTGCGCTGGTGTCGGGTACTACGAGGGTCGCGGGCAGAAGAAGAAAGAAGCTTTTCCATAAAGCACTCAGAAACTTTCTACTACGTGTGTATTGAGTCTGGATTAAAAATGTTGCCCTACGGGAACAGATGAAGCGTGGCATGTGCTCACATGCACCTGTTGTCATTCAACCTCTTTGTTGTCAATTTGCGTGGACCCTCGTCCACGCCAACCTGAGATTTACAATTTCGGGATAGCCGACTTCGCGGCAGGGAGAGCTGTAATTGCTTCTGGAAGTCTCTCAACTGCGAAAGTCCGTCCCTTTAGATATACAATCGGAACTCCGGGAATTTTGCGGATGCGGCGCTTCAGGTCTTTGTCGTTTGTGGCCACCAGGTAACACTTGTGCTGCAAGCAATCCGTCGCGATAAAATTGCCGCAGTCATTAGTTTTCATTGATATATAACTACGAGCAGCAAATGAGACAAATAGATCATTGTGCTTGAATAATCGTAGAGGGTTGGTTTGTCAGGTTAGCTCCTCTTCAATCAAATGGCTGACAGTGAGCCAAATCGAATCTACGCCTCATCCCCAATCAGCGCAGTTCTGAATACCGTCACCTTTGACTGTCCGACAGTAGCTAGTCGCTCGACGTAAAAAAGAAAAGCAAGAAAGAAGAAGAATATGTATACGGTAGCTTACTTCTGTGACTCGCTGCACAATGCAGTCATCAGCGTATGTGCCAGCGTGGAGACACTTGAGGCGTTTAATCCGTGGGTCCTTTGCCAAATGAAGCGCTAGACGGTATCGGTGACCCAATTTCTCTAGCTCAGCAATCACGCAGTCCGTCACGCAAACATCACCTGAGATAAAGAGAAAACACATTGTCTATGCCAAAGAATGACTTTTATGACTATTCCCGGAAATCAAGCTCGCTTAAGTCTCAGACGGCGACCACCAAAGGATTTCATCGCTGTCAGACACCGAGGATCGCTCTAAATTGTGTGAATTTTGCCAATGATAAACATTACACTGTTACTTCTTTCTCACATTTGGCCACAAGACAAGTAATGAGGCCCTGTAGAACATCTTGTTTCGTTTGAATGGCTCCATTTATAAAGTTAGTGTCAACCAACACCTGATAGGGTGGCACTAGGTTAGTGTTGTAACTAAAGAACTGTGCTGGGTTGTGCTGCACGCTGCGAACAAAGCAGAACAGCACAGCAAATATCTGGGCCTTAACGAACCTCTAAAATACCTCTATCTGAATGGGAAGGCGGTCGTATGAAAGCCGCAAACCTTGTAGACAGCCGACAGCAACTGGAAGTAAATCTTGGGAAGTCGAGAGGCGTGGAATCAGCTGCATTCATAACTTTCAATAAAGACGCACTGTTCTTTCAGAATGGCCTCTCTCTCTTTTAGCTTTTTTTGTTTCTTCTCTTCCTTCTTCTGCCTAAAGCATTGAAAATGCAGTTTAGCCACAAAGGTGGATAGCGCTATGGCTAACAAACAATCAACACTGAGGGTACATTCATGTTGCCACAACGTGTACATGCTGAGATTCACGTTGATAGTTGCAAACGGACGTTCGCATACGGGTATCATCAGCGTATGTAGCAAGGCAATTCAGTAGAGGGTCAACAGCTGTTGCCGTGCCTGCTCACAGTCGTTGGTCCTTCGGGTTAATGGTGCGTTTTACTGCGGCAAACTTTCGGGTCTTCTTTGCCTTTCCCTGAGCATTAAACGCAACCGACGAACTCAGTCTCTTATTCCGTGTACATGAAAGCGCAAACAGAACAGGCCACCTGATCTATCTCTCCCTACTGCTTCGCCTTTCCGCTTAAGATCTCCGAATGCCCATACAGCGTCAGCCGCAAGGCTTTTGCTTACCATGGCGACAAATGAGAATGTGGCATGCACACGCTGCCAATGTTAACTGGAAGGAAACAAACCGAGTGAGTAGGGCAGCTGAGGTCAGGGTCCGTTTCAGGGACAGTTTCCTCGCAAACGCCGCTACTGCTGCCGCTCAAGCTGGGAATGAACAGAGAGGAAGAGCTTTGGGGTCCTTTACATCCCAAGTAGGAAGAGAAGCTGCCCTGTGCAGAGCAGGGGGCCCCACGCGTCGAAACAACGAACGATCTACCAGCCAAAGAAGGTGATATGTTCTTTGTTTAGCTTGTAATAAAGGTGAAAAGCGTTCAAGATTATGTGCTTTTGGGCACACTTTCTGTCACAAGCTTTCTCTGCAAGAGATGCAAATGGTACCCAGAATCGAGGACCCATCGGGGCCGTCACAGACTACTGGACGAAATATTGTATGAACAGGTAGATTTTCCGTTATGCTCGCCGTAGCCTCTATTTATGCTGCTACTGTATGTTTCGTTGGTTGTATCATGCCTTGATTCACTAGTGCTAAATGCGAAGTGGTCGTACCCCCGGCCTCCCGGCTGCCCGAAGGCTGTTTTCAGGTATACAAGCACCGCAGGTTGCATGCCTCCAGAACCCCTGTACGTTTTCAGCTCCAATTCCTTGAGCATAGCTGATACAGCTTTCGAGTTAGTGACCAATAAATAGTGAACAACATCTTGTGTAGCTACAATTGGCACATGGACACAGCAAGGAAGCCTGTTTGATAAAAATCTACACGATCCACAGAAAGCTCTATCTTCGTCAATCTCGCGCGGACCACTTTCTCAGCTCTGCTCCTTGGTATTGTGATGCATATAACACGACAAGTGGTGCTACATCAAACATGACGGCAACAGCAGCAGCACCAGGGCAACCAACAATTCCACACCAGCAGCAGCCACAAGTAACAGGCGGCGCATTTTCTTTCAGCACTTTCTGGTCCAAGGATTTCCTTATCTCTGTGTTTCCACCTGTTTAGCGCCGTTGAAAACTATCGGCGGTGCTCATTGCAACTTTCTTCATCCGTCGGATCAGTACAATACATTTACTGCATGCCGCAAATCTACAAGCCTTCAAGCCTTTGCCTCGCTCTTCACGTCGCATTCTCAATCTTCCCTTTCCCATGCCCCCCGCTCTTTGCTTTTTGTGCCTCCATCACTGTATCGCTGCTGTGGTGCTTGTTTTGCTTTCCTACTAGCTGGTCTTTGCCGCAGGTCAACAAGCCACGGAGCAACTGAAAAACAGCTGGTTCATAAAACAAGAAACTTTTGGTACTCTCTTCCGTTCTCATCTTCTATCGCCTGCCTTAACGCCCCTTCATCACCTACAGCATACCAGTCTACTCCAGACCCATTTGGTACTACAACGATTAGTGGGCCTTTTTCCTTCTTGCAACCATGAGCGTAGTGAATTCACGTGTCATCGTGATATAGGCTACGTTTAGCCGTCTTTACTGCGCCGCCCCCACTGCATTTGGCTTTCTCTTATATCCACAGTTCTGTGGACAAGAGAAATTCGCACAAGCCTGCTTCATACTTTAAAAAGCCCCAAGGAAAACGCACCAGGCCTTTGGATAAAGCTTTAGCATTTTCTCTATGCCTATTACTACGCAGTCGATTTTGTGTTTGACGCGCAGTGTAGCCCGTACACAGAAGCGAAAGTGAAGTATGGCCCGAAGAAGGTACCTTCGGGCATTTGGCCTTGGCACACTCCGGCAGTCATTGCACACCATTCGCAGTGTACGACGTGCCTTTGCCTCACCGAAGCTGCCGCTAGAATGCTCAAAAGGCATTTTCAATCTGAAAATACGTACTCTACGTAGAATCTGAGTCGTAGTGATGAGACTGGCAAAAGCAGAAACTTCACGGAACTCGTTAACAGAAAAAAAAGATTGGAAGCCGTGCAATTAAAAGGCAGGAATGGGCTAAAAGGAACTGTCGTGAGAAGAAGACAAGTAGTTTATGGCTTCTTGGGCTTTTGTTTCTTCTTTCTGGCAACCACCAACCACTCCCCGCCCCCATCGTCCGTGGACTCCTGGTTGTGCACGCGCATCTCTTCCGTCTGAGAGTCCCCTCCTTTCAAGACTGACGCATTAGAAGGAGCCGGCGTCTCGAATCCCCCTCTTTTCTTCTGGTTCTTTTTTGTTGGGTTCACCGGACTCGCCCCTGCCTCGTGTGCTCTGGGCTTACTGTCCGTCGTGCTGCTGCTTCCGTTGTTGGTGGAGGCAGCTTTGCGTCGCCGTTTGTTGTTGACATTCTGAGAAAATACCACAGACGCAAAGGCGAAAGTTCTTCGAGCAAGTCGTAATGTTTTCACTCAGCCCGAACCAACTGCAGATTTCAAAGGACTCAAAGGCCCGTCTAGAAGTTCGTGCTGACTTTTTGATCTAGAGGAGCCCGAAGAGAATACGTGCATCGTGCCGCCACCGCCAGGACAAGAAATGAAACAACACCTCTGAAGCAAAAACACCACACAGCGAGTATGGGTCATGAGTGAGCACTGCCCCATACTGTGTTGGAGATTAATTGCGTGCATTTGTGGCTACTCGTGAAGGCCGCAGCCTACCACAGTACGAGGCAACATGGCATTTGGTGAGACGTAGCTCGTTGCCTAAACCCTTCAGGCTCAACCATTCTAAAAATGCTAGAATTTGCAGCGCTCATTGTATGCAAAGCGCCAGGGGGTCAGGAAAGTATGAAAGCGTCGTGGCGACTACACCGGGGGCGAAGGGGAAGAGGATTCCGCATTCCATTACTTTAATAGGCACTTACATGGTGGCAACGGCTATTGGATTTCCATTGAATAAGGCCTCTTTGAACTGCAAGGCGCCATGAACGAGGAGGTCAGCGAGGACTTGACCCCTGAAAGCATTTTCTGTAGGGATGCCTTTCTGTGAAACCTGTTCCATTTCGGCAGAGTCCATAAAACAGAATGTAGCAATAAAACCACCAAGTGATCTTCCACTCTTCGACAATCCACGGGATGAGCGTGGCCGAAAAACTGGACAGGCAGCCCGATCACCGCACAGTGGGCAGAAACTCCTCCATATGACGCGGCCGATAATAGTCAGTGGGTCTTCTTGACCTTATATTAGTGCCTTTATGGCCATGTATGAGGAATATTGCCCGGAGGTTTGGGGGCAGAATGATACAGAGACAAGGGGTCCTCTCTGGGGCTGGCTTCGCAGCAGAGCAGGAAGAAAAGGAACTCGTGCGCATTTACTAAAACGACTCCCCCGTACTTTTAAGAGAACCGCTTGCTCATTAATATTATTAAAGAATATTAAATGAGGCGGCCCCCTGATTCTGAAGAGGGTGTGCATTTACTCTCATTGCTGCCGTCCCAGTGCCCAGATAGAAACAATGGAGCACACTACTCTTCTTCCCTCCGCAAATGATCATGGTATAGCGACTACAATTATAGGCCCTTTTAGACACTAAGATACTGTGGCAAGGCATGCAAACAATTAAAGGGGAGGAGGGAAAGTATCACGCTCCTTTGTAATGTTCCGTTAGGTACGCGCCGCAGAAGGCATTCTAGTAACCAAACGAAACCAAGATCGTTCTCAGAGAAAAGGCTAGCATTCTGGTAAATTAAGTGAGGAATGAACAGCAGAGCTTGAGTTTTTTGCGTGCAAGTAGCAACAGCTATAATCAGGAGGAATTTACGAAATTTGACAAGCGAGTTTGGCTATTCGGACTACCGTATTTTTCGCAGTGCTATTTACTCAATGCCAGAAGGTGCAGCGTTGTGCGTGAGCCCGCTAGATGCTCTGTAGAACTAGCTCTGAATGCTAAGAGTGCTTGCAGAGAGCAGCTACGCGCACCCTACCTGCCCCTCTCCTCTCATGTATGGTGCTCTGAGGGCTGCGGGCAGGTCAAAGGGGGAACTGTTCTCAGAAGCTCACAATAAGGTTTAAGTTAGTATGTATCTAACGTGGATCTAGGTGACTTCCAACCGGTCCTCTATATGGAACACATGGCAGCACCGCAAGGTTCAATGAAGATTCCCCCCACAACCACTGGCTGCGAATCCTCAAAGATATCAGGTTTCTCTACAACAATTGCCTAGCTTTGAGCAAGATATCAAGTAATTTGACGGGCCTCGATCTGCGTTTGAAGACCAATAGCACGTCCATTCCGCGTCGAAACACGGTCTTACTAATGGCCAAGCATCGACAGCAATACTTGACACTGAATCCGAGGTAGCCTTTATACCCTGGGTGATAGATCAGAAGCTCAATCCGCTTATTCACTCGTTAGCGCAGTCCCTAGGACTTCGGCTCGCTAGCGGGTGGCAAAACGGAAAACTGCAGTTTAAGGCCATTCAGCTCAGAATTAGGCCCCATCAGCAAGGTTCATCACGCTTCTAGTGGATCCGTGCATCATGACGTAGCTCCAGGCATGTAAGAGATGACCTAGTTGAAAGCACACATATGGCCATAGCTGCACGTTGCATGATATGCAGGAAAGCGCTAAGAAGCACTTCCTGGCCTATACCACGACGCTGTATTCATTTGTGGTGCGTGGGGTAGAGTGGATGTCTCAGCAAAGCGAGATAGACTCTTCATGCAGGTGGCTAGGAAGCACGGCGAGAGAAGACAGTTCTGAGCACGCATATCACCCTAGTGGCTCTTCAACTGATTCTTTTTTTAGGAAACGATCGAGCTTTCAGCCGACGAAAAGCAGAAACTTAAATCTTATTGAAGATGTTGGGGTTGTGCTGAATAGTGACGAGCTGCCAACGCGCTGGCTATGTCCTGCTCATCCAGGTCATGGCATCGAGGTAGCCCTGGGGTTTGCCCCACGTCATGTTTTGCGGTAACGAAAGTCCCCACTGCAAGAAAAGTATATAAGGCCTTAAGCTGAGTAATTTTCTAAAAATACCAGTGCGCAGAATTGGCAACCGCCTTCTGGCATAACCCGGTGTTAGTGCTGAAAAGGGAAGGAATATTGCCAGGCCCCTAAGCAAGACCTCTGTGAAGAAGGAGATACCGATGCCTCCTGTTGATTAATGACTCGATATGCTGCAAAAATCGACGATCTTTTTCACATTTAATCCCACAGACGTCTTACAAATCCCCAATATCCAAGACGATAAAGGCAAAACGACCTATCACCTCGCACTCGCATGTGTAAGATAGCCTGCTTGCCATTTAGGGTTGTTGATAACTGGTGAAATGCAATGGCAGGTTAATTTGGATCTTAGCGCACTTTACAAGAAGGAGGGGGGCGTGCTCTATATGATAGCACCTTCTTTCGTAATGCGAAACGTTCAAAAGCACCTACAGCGCCGATGGGGTGCGCTTCAGCCGTTGTGGAAAAAACTAGGTTGACACAGGCCCAACACCCATGGTTCCTAGAGTTTGTTTTGGCTTTTCCTTTTCAGCCAAATACGCAGCGCTGCGTTTATTTGTTCCTGAAACATCAGGTAGTTCATTTGTGAAAACTGCTCTGGTCGGGCGTTTGGCTGCTTCGTCTTTGCGCACCTTCGACCACTTGAAATGACACTTTAGGTAAGCCTGAGATATAGTACTCACAAAGCTACCATTTGGCTACATTGTGGCTTTTGCAAAATTTTCTCAACATGCGGAAATATCGAACGATTTACTTGCTCCAGCTTTCTTTCCTCAAAGCTTGCTGTTGAGCTTTTCTTGGCCTTACCTGATTGGTCAGGAATTGTATTAAGGCTTGAATCTATCAATCTCTGCAGGTAGGCGACGCTGTCTGCATGAACAGAGCTGCCATTGAAGTACGTCTCCTTCTAATGATGAACATTCTGGAGGATGCAATAGCTCGTCTCGCAGTTGCGAGTACCCAGCGAAATGCACCAATGCACGCTGGTTAAACCTTACAGTACTTGCCCATCCTTATGCCTGTCATAATTTTCTGGCTTTCTAATACCTCAGCGATGCAACTATCAACATTTTATCTACAGACAACTCATGGCTCTTTACCAGTTGTGGAGTGACTACATTCACATACCCTTTCACGGCGCCCTCCGCAGCCCCGATTGCCACCGCAAGCTTTCATCGCTATTCACACCTCCAGCTACCAACTAGCTTGATCAAAGCACGAAAACTGCTGTGCGAAAAACTGATCATTTTGCTTCATGCACAGCGAGCTGATAAGCGAGGGAAAACTACATCACAGCATGCGGTGATACGAAAAATATATATTGTCGAAGGTTTCGGTAGAGAAATACCGATTCCATACTCAATACAAGCTAAATAAAAGTTCCTGAGTTTTCCAAGAGAGCTCCCGCCCTTTCGTGTCGGCTACCCTCAATGTCTCCAACATGGGGGGAACGGACAGCTATGCAACGCCTCGCTGCACCTTCAAGGCCCTCCGAGCATTCACAACTTGGTGCATATAGCATCTAGCCCACACGCACGCAACGCCACGTCTTCTTGTGTCGCGCGTTAAAAAACCCTGCAGCTAATAAAATATACGAACAGACAAGTCAGTCAGTCAATTTTCCGGTTTCCTGTTGCTAGATTTGAGTAGTTTATTTGGAAGTGCTTAACTCGGTACGGACTATGGGAAAAGGTGTTGAATCTTTCCCCACAGTTTTCTTCTTTCTCTGCCCTCGACCCTCAGATTTTTCGTATTGAGGGGAGAGGGGCAGCCAAGCCGCGCGTTGCGGTGCCCTTTACACCCCAGGCGTTTACAGCTCGGTGCGCAAAGCATCTAACATGCACAGAATATTACATTTTCTTGTATCGAACGAAACCTACGTACAATATATAAAGCGAGCTAAAAAAAATCCCATTATCCAGTTCGCTACTAATTGCCGATCGAGAATACCTAGCTTAATAGGAGGTGCCACAGTGTACCATCGCGAGCCGGTTACAACCTCGCAAAAACCTGGCTGGTCTCCTCGTCCTACAAACAGAACCATGCGGCCATGAACAAAAGTAGCGCACTAACTCGGTTCACAACTAAAGGAGATGTCCTTTTAATCGATGTGGCTAGTGACTCATGTTGTGGGAGAGGCGATAAGGAATGCTCTACACTGTCCTATATGCTCACGTACATAGTTTGGTATTGCATTGATAATCATGTATATTGCTAGCAAAACAACAGCTATTACTGTCGCCGACGTTCTATGTGCTGCCTGGTATTCAGAGAATGGAAGTGTGTAACCAGCTGCAGATAATCAAATAAGCTCTGAAGCGCTACTTCAGTGTATTCTGCTACTGCCCCGCAGTTGGCAGCCTGATATAAGAACCAGATCGGCCACATTGCAAGCAGCACCACACAGCTGTTCAAAGAATGAATTGTATTTGCTTGCGTTGTAGAGTTTGTGGTGTTGAAGGTCCCGGCAGCCGCACCTAGATATTTTTTGCATTGCTGGTACGCATAAACGCCCTTTATGTTAGATCAAGAAACACACCTCTGATTAATCCTGATGCAATTCTGTTTCCGATCGCTGAAATAGACAAAATCGGTTCTTTGATGGTGCCCACTGCCGTTTAGGCACCCAGCCATCGCCACTCGGTGAGGATGCACACCTTTGTGAAGTTTGAGCTTTTATAAAAAATGATAGTATATTTACATACCACTTAAATTTTCGAAAGCTGCTCGCTTTCTCCGGGTTTTCATTCCGGTTCTAATGTTTCGGAACAACAGTGGGAGGGTCCCGAACGGCTCATGGCTACCTTTGGGTTAAATCCCCAAGTCGTGGGACCTGCATTTGCGTTGTGTGCAGTCATTTCTGACAATGACTTTGGTTACTATGTAATGCCCAATATACACCGTCGGAGCATCACTATCCTCATGGGGCACAATCCCTTACCCATGGCATGCAACGCCAGCTAGCTAGAAAGACTTTCTTTGAACTTACTTTGCTTTCCCCGTGACTCTTTTACTGGCCCACTGAGAAGGTGGAACCGGGGTCAGATCTAGAGATTGAGCTTAGCAGGGGACTCGCACCAAGCAGCAGCATGCGTGAATTGACAGCTTGCGGAGATCCCACCACCCTTTCATCTCAGCGTGTCTAGCCAGCAAGCGCATACTAGAGCTCTTCCCTAGCCCGGATTGAAGCGGATTCGGGGCGAATTGCTCTGGGTTCAGGGAGGGAGTACGCCAAAGAACAAATTGACGCGGTGGTCCCTAAGAATATCAGCTGCTTAGCTGCAACAGTGGAAGCCGTTAACTGCAGTTGCAGCTGCCGAGTCCAGTCCCTTCTTCCTTCCACTGCGCTTCTGTTTAAAGCTGGAAGAAGATGACGAAGGATCATGGGGAAGAGGGGGGTCACCATTCTTCTAACACTCCATTAACGCCCGCCTTGGAGGTGCCAACGGTAGAACCTCCTGTTCTGGCCCTTCAGGGACGCCGCATTGGCAACAGAGGCGATGAAACACCCCCTGAACCCGATGAGGAAATCCGTCGGTTGGCATCCATGATCACTAGACAGGCCTCCCGTGGCTTTACAGGAGAGACCTGGTCAGGCAGCACATACCGCAGCACATTTCAAACCTCCCCACTGCTATTAAAACCCACTTCAAATCAAGCACACCAGCCCGATCCTTAGTTTCTCTGCGAGGACTAATGAGGAACAAAAAAAGGCGTTTCCAAGAGTGCTCGTTTGTGCAGTGGCAAAGCCTACGGCATTTTGCTTAGTATGGGGGTCTCCTTGCTTGCGATGCATACACCGAGGCGCCCACTACTCGTACCATGCTGTAATTTAAGGGCCCCTGGTATATATTCCTCTGTCATTTGTTGAAGACGTAGATATGGCCTAATGCCTCCTTGCTGGACAATATCTCTGTTTCCTCGCTTTCCTGTGGTGCTCTGGGGTGTACGCACAGGTACGACTTTGACTTACCACTGAACAGGACGGATCCCGTGGTGATTCTTCACTTCAATGATGTGTACAACATCGATAGCCGGGAAGACGGATCGGGTGGTGTGGCGCGATTTGTAACCGCCATGCAGCGTTTCAGTCATCTGCACCCATTGGTCTTCTTCTCAGGTAACTGCTTATTCGCGATACCTTTTGTACGCCATCTTCAGGTGATGCGTTCATATCGCTGATGCCCGCCCATCATAGTTCAATTCATCAATGTCATGAATACATCTGCAGCACTACGAACTGGCATGAGGCTGCCGCTGGCACTGCCTTTTTCTACATGGGAGAGGAACATTAAGTGCAAAGGCCTTGTCACGCCGTACCTGCCTTCGCCTCGGTTAAGCCTCTCTGTGAAATTTTCTGTAGCTGTGCCACGTGCTATACCTGCTTCCACCTGGATCTTAATGGCTATTTAGAGAGAAAGAGGAAAAAGAAACCTTTTCTCCCTGTACAGGTCTTTGCATCTTGATCACAAGGATGTAGGTTCATCCGCTTGCCTGTTGCACCTAACGTATTCATGAGTTTCGTTTGTGGTTGTTTGTTTCTGGCCTCTTAGGAGATGCCTTCAATCCTTCTCTGATGAGCACTTACATGAAGGGTCGGCAGATGGTGCCGTTCCTCAACCTTCTAAAAGTGCATACCGCGTGTCTGGGAAATCATGATTTTGATTTCGGGATAGATGAATTAGAGTACACTATTGGATCGTGCAACTTTCCCTGGCTGCTCACAAATGTTTTTGAGCGGTCCAGCTCGGATGATCAGAAAAAGCTAGACAAGTACATGCAGAGTAAACGAGTGTCACCAACACAATTAGGCTCAGGAGCTATACAGGCACCTTATGAGAAGAGACAGACTGAGGAGCAAGAAGGAGAAGAAGGCGATTATTCCGACGACTATTTCGGGTTGCCAGGAGAGCCCATTGCCAATGCCTGGAAGTACCGACTCTTCGAGTGGCAGGGCATCCGCATCGGGGTAATCGGACTCGTGGAACGGGGTAAGACAGGCAGCGGCCGTCTCTCAATGGCCACTGTAGCTCTATTATATCCACTCGGCTTATGTAATACGCTGGAAGTTATTGTACTAAAAACGTGCATAGATGCTATGTACTCCATATAAATAGAGATACATTTGTAAACGCGGAATGGTGCTTGGCACACATTCTATTTTGGCCCTTTTTGCCGAGCTGTAATCTTTAAAGCAAAGGTTTTTGCCTAATTTAGTTTTGTGCCTGCTATGTGCTACCTGTGTTCTGGTTAGAATGGCTGGATACCCTGGCGTGCATTAGTGCGGAGGACGTGGTGTACGTGGACTACGTTGTGGCTGCCAACAGAATGTGCCGCTTCTTGCGGGCAAAAGAATGCGAGCTTATCATTGCATTGACACATATGAGGGCTCCTAATGATCAGCGGCTGGCTGAGATGGCACCAGACATTGATATCATCTTGGGAGGACACGATCATGACTATTACGGATTGCAAGTCATCGGTATGTACATGCCCTCCATCACAATGTCAAGACTTCGCTATAGGCGGACGTGCACGCTACAGGCCATCCTCCGGAAGACACATTAGTAATGTTTGTGGGAGTGACTTTACATGAGAATAGAGGCTTTGGGTAGCTTTGGATTCGCCTGTAGGGCACTCACTCAGTGGACTGCCTAGGGCACTCACTCAGTGGAATGCCAGGTGTACCGACAGGGCAGCACAAATTTACAATTCCGGACTTAACTAGTTGCTTCGGCGGATTTCGAAGCTTCGATGAGAAAAGCTGATACAGCCGATGCAAGTGATGCAGGTGCTATTTTTCTCAACCCGCATGATTGCTTGCACTCAGTGTTGGGAGGTGTTGCTGCTCAGGGGGTACGCCCGTGGTGAAGAGTGGCACCGATTTCTTCGACTTCACAGCTATTGCAATATTTCCAGGGGACTCCTCACCCCAGCCTAATCTCCTTGCAACAGCACTAATCGATGACTCTGGCCAGCGCGTTGGTGCTGCAGCAATAGCTGCTGCTGCGATTGCTGCGGCCCCGAGAGTCTTGGACGCCCCAGCAGACGTGTCTCCCAACTCCACAGCCTCAGCCATTGCTGCCGCAGTGGCGGTAGCAGAACAAGCAGCGAACGCGCCACAGCACGAAGAATTAAGTCCTAGCGAGCTGGCTTCGCAACTGCTGCATGCACGAGGAAGAATTATTCCTGATACTCGACAGGGGCAGGGGAATCGGGAAGACAGGCCACTGTTGCTCAAGCCCGTATATCCTGCACAGTCACAGAGTCAGCTGCGCATTTCGCACAAGAAACCTACGAGCGCCAAGCTTCTCAGAGGCTGTCATTTCTGCCTTCTTTCCCATCCATCCCATCGGGGAGACTGATGCGCTCATTAAACGCTCTTGTGCAGCCACAGTGCTCCCCCTACTTTTGTGTGTATCCCATGTTAGAAGGGGCCGGGGTTGGTGTATGCTTCGTTTGGTGCATACCCTGCCTGCTGTACGGGGGTACATGAACTTAATTCGGGGCTGTTGCGGGTTACGTGTGTGCGGTCAGGCGTATTGCGGCCCTCTGACTGTCGGGGTGGCAGCGTGGTTATACCTAAGCTGCTGGGAAAGTCGTTGGTGCAGTGGGAACGCGTAAGCGTAAATGCTGCAAGCTTTGCAAAGAATAAACACGTGGAGCTGCTTGTGAAGAAATATGAAAGACATCTAAAACAGCAAATGAGACGGAAACTGGCCACGTTGGGTGCTGATCTGGAGACAAGGTTTAGGATAATCAGAACCCAAGAAAGCAATTGCGGGAATTGGCTGTGCGAGCTGATGCGCACAGAGTGCAAAAGTGACATCGCGTTCATTAACTCGGGTCAGTTCTCTAAACCCTGAGCGAAAAGTTTGGGTGGGGCGTACACTAAATCCCTACGACAAGCAAGAGCTGCCTTTCTTCTATCGAGTATTGAAGAATGACTTCATGAGAACGGGAGATTTGGTTTTCATTCACCTACTGCCTAACATACGATTAGAACTGTCTTACTAAAGCATAGAAAAGCATTCAAGATGAGTGCCTGCGTAGCAAGCGCCATTAATCCAACCCATGTGCTGTGTATGGGTATGCATGCATGCTTACTTGCTTTGCGTGCGTAGGTACGATTCGCTCTGATTGTGTCTTCAAGAAGGGGGACTTCCGCTACGGGGATCTCGCGGCGATGCTACCAATGCCTGATGAATTAGTGGTAGTTGAGTGCACAGGCGCTATCATTTTGGCTGTCCTAGAAAATTCAGTGTCTCAGGTGCCTAAAACAGAGGGTCGCTTCCTGCAAGTCGCAGGGCTTCGTTTTGAATTTGATAGCAGCAAACCTCCTGGCAGTCGTATTATAAGGGAGACCGTACAGGTGGCACCAAGGAGCATTAATCTTCAGGCAAATGACGGGGGTCCAACCCCAGCGCATGACGACAGTCCAACAAAATTTGAGCCATTACAAGAAAATGCTCGATATACGGTCGTGACCAAATCCTACGTCCTTCAGGGTAAGTGTGTTGTTCAGTTGTATTATCACAGCACACATATGATCTGCAGGAAAAACGTTTTGGTCGTATCCGTGCATTCCAAATGCGTCACGTGTATGGGATGGATATGACGTAGAGGGAGATTGCGTTGTAATGTACTTTTCATTCCTTACGATACGTTTTGTTGAGGGATTTCCCCCAGATTCTGCAGTGCGTACAGCCCAGTCACTCGGTGTGTGCAGAGTCTATATCTGCTGTTGATATTGATGCCATACCTGCGACAGGCCGTGACGGATTCACAATGATGCCAAGCTGCCCTATTCTTGTGGAAGGGGAGCTCCTGCCGCCTCTGCCAACACTCGTGCGGAACGCATTGGCGCTCACGGCAATGGCTAATGGCCTCAAGAAACCGCACTCCCGTGCGGTGTCTCGGCAGCTCTCCTTCTTCACAAACCTAAAAAGTGACCAGATGCTCTCCACTTTCGGATGTAAAAAGGACGTATACGGAGTTGTTTTAGCACCAAAGTGCGACGGAAGAATTATAGATCGAAACAGTGATCTTAAATAGACGTGGAGAATGTCTTCAGCATCCTCTAGGGGGTTTCCAAGGGTCTTGCAAGAACGTGCGGCGGTTTTCTAAAATCCGCATAGCAGGAAGCCTTATTCATGCATGGCCTCTTCAGAGGCACCTCTTACCTCCTTAGGGGACCACAAATATGCCCACCTGCAGTAGCATGCGGGTGGAAAGGAAAGGAGCAGCTTATTTGTTCTTCTTCCAAGCTTTCCATTTGAGCTACTTCGTGCATGTTTATGCATAAAGGAAACCGTTTTAGTGACGACAGTGCAGTGGAATTACTGGGGTTCCTGCATTGGCGACTTATGGCCCGCCAATATACACCCCTTTCTAGACCATTGAAAATCTTATGGTTGGCGTTACTAATTGAACCTTGTGGAAAGTCCCTACATCTTTCGACTGCAAGCTGTAGCAAATGTGCTACTCTCAAAGATGGGCCACCTAACGGGCATTCATCAGCCTTCACTGCTGCCGCCCTTCAATGCGCAGCACCCCGGCCGTCTGGTGTGTGTACGGCGCGTGCGGCGTGCGCGGAGTAAGCGCTAAGCAGATCGAAACACTACTACAGGGCTTCTCCTGTATTAAATACGGGAGGAAGTATTGCTTGGCGAAACTTAGCAAGTGGTGGAGGCGTTTTTAATGTAATGCAGCTTTGCCGCCCCAAAATACATAGATATGATGTCCTGTAACTTTGGCAGGGAAGCTCCTGCGGCACGCAAAGCGTTTACACTGCATCAGATGAAGAGCTCCAAAACCGAAAAAGATATGCATATTTGTTGGACGCAAGGAAACAAGTAGGAGAGTCCATAATGCATGCAGAACCGAACGCCCCTGAGCCGAGTGTTTTCTCCCCTTTGAAAGCCATATGCTGCGGGGGTGGCAAAGGGTCCTTAAAGACGGGTTCGAGCACTGACACCTACAGACCCATGATGCAAAGGGACCAAAGAAAAAAGGACAGTGTGCCGGCGAGATATTATCACGGCAGTATGTCTGAGCGCGGATCGGGTATACATACAGCTGAAATTGGGAAACACCTCACAGGGGTGCGTCCCTTAGTAGACGCAAATGTACACACAGCCGAATCAACTCGTGAGCTGCACCTCCAGCTCTTCTGCCAAGCCCCTTGCCAGCAGACTGTCCTGGCGCATGCGCTCAACGGCAGCCGCTCTCGCCTCGCGAGGGGTTCGCCTACGCCGTTTGCAAGGGAGACCCGAACCCATAGCAGAAAAAGCACTATCTATTCTGCGTTTGTGCCTGGTTTCTCTCTGGCGTTTCCTGCTGTAAAGGGAGCAGGGCACTGGAGGCATGCAAGGGCTGGAGGAGGGACGACGGCGACGCCCACTTGCTATTACTCCTGCTGCTGCTCTTGCTGTTGGTGGTGGTGCTGCTCTTGCTGCTCTTGCTGCTGCTGCTGGGTCAGTAAGCGGGGCCGGAGCAGCCCTTTTGGAGAGCGAGAAAGTGCTGCGCGGTGCTGCTGCTGCTGCTGCTGCCTCGCCAGGTGTCTGTGCTGCACAGCAGACACCTGGAGGCGGGTTCGGCGTGGAGGCAGTTCTCAGAGTCCGCGTCTCCTGCATGGGGCCCTCTCTTCCTGCGCGTCTCATAAGCTCCCTCACGACAGCCTCGGCAGCTGTAACAGCGGCAGTGGCCGCCTTGCATCCTGCTGGGCTTCGGCGTAAAATCCTGAACTGTCTGGAGAGCGTTGCGCTGCCCCACGTGAGGAGGTTGCTGCGGAGGGCAGGAATGACGAGAGGCCCCCTTCGAACAATGAAGCCAATGTTGCTGGCCAGTTGCAGCAGGCGTTGCCTCCTCCTGCTTTTGGGAGTTTCTTCAATGGCAAAAACCTCGAGGCGGGGGAGCCCGCGCAGCAGGAGACGGAGGGAGGTCGCATTGCCCTTCAGCTGCTGCACCACGCATGTGCGTAATTGTGGCAGGAGCTGCGACACGGCAGCCACGGCTCGATGGCAAGCCCAAAGACAGCAGTTTCTGCTGCACTGAAAGTCTGCTGCACGCCCTCTTTGGGCCCTGTCCCTGCGTCTCGTCTGCGTTTCGACCTCAGTTCCCCGTTGCGTTGCATTCGTTCTAGAGAGGGGCCCTATTGAAGGCTGAGGAAGCGCGTCTGCAACGCTTATTTGCAGCAGTCTCCGCAGAGCAACGAGACGCTGATGGTGGCTTCGAAGGCGCCTGAGACGGTGTAGCCCCTCTCTGAAGCGGTGGTAGCGCTGTACCTGCCCAGTTGTCTCCCTCGAGGCGTTGACTCCCGAGGAAGAGGAAGGGGACGATGAAAATACACAGCTGCGCATGTTGGCAGTCGCAAGGGCCTCTAGACGCCGCTGCAGCTGTTGCAGCTGCTGCCGCATGCTGCTTACCTCCCGTGACAGCCGACTGTGGCTCTCATGAAGGCTAGCCCCCCCCAAGGACCGTTCCTCAAGGAGCGCTTCGCTGGGCCTCTGCCTGCGCTCGCGGAGAGCAGCTGTGACGGCAGAGAGACGCCTGAGGCGCCTTCTGCGTGTGCTATACGCCTCGTAGAGACGCTTCTGCTTGAGCAGAAGTCGGCTGCCTTCCTTGTCTCGCTGGCACTGCGTTCGCTGCAGCGCCAGATGACTTCTGGCTTGCAGTTGCGCCTGCCGTTCTTCTTTTCGCCTCTCTAAGGCCCGCTGCCACGAGCGCGAGAGGGAAGGCTTCGACGCGGCTGCGGCGGCTAGGGCGAGTCGGATAAGGGCCTTTGCGTCAAGCGTCCAAACGTGAAGTTCGCGGAGGCTTGCAAAGGGAGACATTTCCACAGGACAGGCATTCACGGAGAGTCCCCTCATGGCCAGACCGCGCTGAAGGTTGCATGCGGACGCGCTGCCTCCTTCAAGCGTCTCCGCTTCGAATGGAGACATCAGAGAGCGCGGCGTCGCCGCCCCGGGGCCCCCAAAGAGACGCCCCTGGTACCGCAAAACTCGGAGTTGGGGGGCCCCTCCATTCACCAAGAAGGTATCGAAATCGTCATCTCCTCGCTGCACCTGCAAGTGCACAAAAGGCAAACAGAAGCGGGAGGCGCGTGTAGAGACATCCGGGCAGATGGAAAGGGCCCCAAGGGAAGCAGCGCTGCGGGGTAAATGCCTGCGTCCACGCACACTGCCGATCATGGCTTGGCCCCTCTCACCTGAAGTTGGCAGAGGTTTGGGCAAGTGAGATTCGGCGTGAAGAAGAAGGCCGTTCCCGTGTACCGTTTCATGAGCAAAGTGACTTTTTGCCGGCCACTGCTGTTGCTGTCAGTGCTGTTGGTGCTGTTGTTGCCGCTGCCGCGAGCTTCTTCGTCCTCCGCCTCGAGGGGCCCTCCTTGGGGGCCCCCAAGTCTCCTCCTCGGGAGAGTCAGGCAAGGGTCTCGGACAAACAGGTTATCGAGCGCCTTGAGGAGTGCGACGAACCAGAGAACTCCATCGGACTCTCCTTCAGTCCGCAGCTCGCGCAAATTTCCGCATTGAGGCAACGGCTCCACCAGGTAGGGCAGAAAGCTGGAGTGGCATTGCAGGTGCTGCAGCTGTCCAAACTTGAGGCCGTACAGGGGCCTTAAGCCCTCTGTCGAGTCGTGAGACTGCAGGAGGGATCCGCCGCTTGCGGAGAAACTGAGCGACACATCGATATCCGAAATTTCCAGCTCCGACGCCCTTCGCTTTCCCGACTGAGAGCCCATCGTTTGATGCTGCTTCTGCTGCTGCTGCTGCTGCTGCTGCTGCTTCTGCTTCTGCTGAAGAGCTAGACGGTGTTGCCAGATGCTTTGCACAGTCTTTGCCGCGAGCTCAGAGAGCTTCTCGCTCATGCGAAACGCAGCTCCTGGACCCGCTGCCATTCCTGCGGGCAATGCCGAAGCAGCAGCAGCAGCAGCTGCTGCAGGCCTTCGCCCCGTGTCTGGCGTCAAGGGAGCCATCAGGGGATGCGTGCGGTGGACGTACAGCAGACGCTGCAGCGCCTTCGTGGCCTCCGCTTCGAGGCAGCCGCTGCGAAACGGTTGAGGCTCTGCTGTGGTACCAGCCCCCAGAAAGGCGGCCAAGGGCGGCGCTGTGCCCTTGACTTCTAGAGCCTTGAGGCCTCCCCCATACGTCGAAAGATACGTCCAAAGAAGCGAGAATCCCGAGATCGGCTTATTCGCGACGGAACCCCAAGTCTCAGGCAGCCGCAGCTCCTGCAGTCGCGGCAGCAGCAGAACGCTCAGAAGCAGGAAGTCGGATGTACGGGCTACTCGGAGGCGAGGCAGCGCCACCACGAGAAGCTGCCCCTCAGACCCCAACGCACAGGGAACTGCACAGCCGCATGCAGCCGCGGCGTGCCGCCTGTGGCGACAACCCCCCCCCAGAGCAGCGCACAGGCCCGCTGCGGCTGCAAATATATCCCCCCCTGAGAGACAGGGCCGCATGGACGTTGCAGCGGCAGCAGCAGATGCTCGCACGAGATGGTCGCCAGGAGCGGCCGGTTGCATGACACAGGGGGGTGGGCCAAAGTCTGTTGCTGCAGAAATACGGGGAAAAGTTGCAGACGGCGCGCTGAGACTCGTCGACTCTAAATTCTCCGCATGCAAGAAGCATGGGCTAGAAGGCCAGCCTGGGGCGTCCACCAACGCCGCATGAGCAGCAGCTAGAGCAGCAGCTAGAAAGCCGCTGCGGAGCTGCTTCGTTGACAAGGGAGACGCACTTGTAACAGCGAGCTCCAGGATTCTGGAGAGAATTCGGGGGGCCTCCTGCGCCGCGTCGCTTTCAACGCGAAGGGCGTTACCAGCCGAAATGACAGCCTGCAGGAGGGCGTCGTTCAGTGCCCCCACCGTGTAGCACGTCTGCAGCTCCACCAAATTGCTGCCACTTCGCAAGAGGAACGACAGCAAGTCTTGGACTGCCGATTTGGAGTATCCTGAAGCGGAGGAATCTGGAGGCGGGGGCCCGCTGCCTGTCACGCGATGAGCCCACTCTCGGAGAGCTCGCGTAAGCTGCCAATAGTCCGGTGGCTCTTGCTGCCGTGGCAAGTGCACTTGCTGCTGCATTTGCTGCTGCTGCATTTGCTGCTGCTGCTGCCGTTGTTGCTGCCTGATCGCTGCGCTCTGATGTCTTGCGGCTGTGTTCGTTGCAAGCCGCAGTTCCTCCAGTCGGGGGCAGTGCAGCGCCCGTAAGAGCCGCCAGCTGCCCACCGCTAGACACCGCAAGCGTGGCAGTACCACACAAACTTGGCTAAAGTTCTTGTAGAGGCGAATTGCTGCCTCTACAGATGCCAAACAGCAACAGCAGCCCCTTATGTCCTCTAAACGGCGTCGCAGCATCCCCCGGCTCACCTGGGCGCGCTTTCGAGAGCAGCCGCAGAGGCCCCCCCCTCCGCTTCCACGAGACTTTCGACACGGCCCAATAGGCTGCCGCTTTCGAGGGTATTGACTGAGGAGATCGCCCCTCGAGTGCGACTCTCGGCAGCAGAGCAGCGCCTCTGGCCGCCGCCCCTCCCTTTCGGAGGACGCGCCCCTCCGAGCCGTGCAAATGCTGCGTTGCCTGAGGAGCAGTGCCGTGGCAAGAAGCATCTGCATCGAAGCCGCTAGCCTGCCGCTGTTGCAGCCGCCCGTTCCCCACACTGCAGGAGGGCCCACGCTCGCGTCCAGTGCAGCAGCTGCAGCCAGAAAACTGTCTCCTAGTCCCTCCCTGATGCCCACGGCGTGATCCTCGTTGGGAGGCCACTCCGAGTCGTAAAGTGCAGCAAGTGTGGCCTCTGCGAACTCAGCCTCCCAGATCTCCAGAGACTCTAGTGTGCTTTTGTTGCGCTGCACGAACGCGGCGAAGGAAGGGCCTAGGCGCTTCGCCGTGTAGGGGCACCCGACAGAGACACTGAGAGCTCTAGCCCCACGAAGGTGCCCAAAGAGCGATCGCAGAAAGTGCAAGTCTTTGGCGACCTCGCCAGCCACAGCTCCAAGGGGGCCCCCCACTTTGAGGACCAACTTTGCGTGGCGTCCGCATGCGGCCAAGCCTCGAACTGCCGCGCGTGCTGCCTGTGTAGACAGCTGACGAAAGGAAGCAGAGGATACACGAATAGTGCTGTCCCACAGACAGAGGCGGCTCCTTGTCAGGTCCAGCCATCTTCTGCACACTAGGGAGCACACCTTCAGCCGCTCGCCCAGGGGAAGCAGGCAGAGGGTAAAGGCCAACAGGCTGTCGGGCAAGGTTGTTATGGAGCTACCTCGGAGCCTTCTGCCGCCACTGCTGCTGCTGCTGCTGCTGTTGCCATATGCATCGCAGCCCCTTTTGCTGCACCCGCTGAGGGCGTGGCTGATAGGCACTGGGGGGGTCCTGTACTCTGATGGGCCATGCTCAGAGGGATAAAGCCTGCTGCTGGTGCTGCTCCCGTCGCTGCTGACGCTGCTGCTATCACCCATACTGCCACTGCTGCTGCTGCGCTTTCTCTATCCACGGTGACACAGTCTGAGGCATAGCGGCTGTTGTTGGGAAAAAGCCCCTCTTGAGGCGCTTGTTTGGGGACCGTCAGCTGCCTTCCTGCAATCCCCCCCGAACAAGAACGCTTCTACGGCCTTGCAGCCGGTTATGTGGAATGGAGTAGTTGGAACCCTATGTGCACTACGGTTATGGCAGCAGCAAACGCTAGGTAGGTAGAGAGAGGAAGGAGCTGCGCATGGGCGGAAAAAACGTGACGCCGCGGCTGCTGCTGCTGCTGCTGCTGCTACCGCTGTCTAGTGTTCCCTCTGTGTTTCTTTATGCCCTCCCTCCTGTGCGCTAAGGCTCCAGAGCGGTGAGCTCTCTTTGGAGGCCTTAAGGCTAGCTGCAAGAGCACAAGTCCTGATGCAGTAAACAAAGTCCACCAAGAGGCCGCGTAAATAGCAGTGGATGGCAACGAATAAACACTTGCTAGCCTGCCTGCCTGAGTCCGCTCCCTGAGTTCCTCTTCATTGCCCCCTTGCCTGCACTGGCCCGTTGCCTAGAGTGCCATTTCTCTCTGGTGCACTACTAGTGCGACTTGGAGTGCCGGTACACCGCAGCAAAGGGGACTCTGCATAGGAGATATGGCGTACAAATCAGGCTGTTACCATTTCAAATAATGCTTGCATTGTTCATTTTATGGACCAATGGCAAATAGGGAAAGGAAGAAGTGGATATACGCTCAGATAATATGAGCGACGACTACGCTGGGAGGCGCAGCCGCCTGCAGCATGCCCGAGGTACAGACAGCAGGAATTCCCAGCATAAAAAGCAATTGAAATCTTAGTTTATCTTCGTATTTTGTACTAGCAGTGAATCGTACTCCCAAAATATCGAGGGCAAGAAGAGAAGCTCATCTCCACAACGCGGCAAAAGAAACTGCAGCCAATTCCATTGCACGGGGTCGGATACAGAGTTGCCATTCGTTTTTTTGCCAGTATTACTCTCTGAATAATTTCTAAGACAGCTGAATTAACTCATCAATGATGCTTTGTTTTTGACTTCGGCCCAGAAGTACAAAAACCGTAGGCTGTGGCTGCTGTACACATGCAGCAGCAACCTCAGCGCCCAACCCAGGCATTCATCCTAAAATATACATATATCTATATAGATAGATAAATCCATCTATCAATCAGAGCCTGCGCGAATCTCCTTGCGCTTTAACACACTAAGAACACCAGTGAAGGAGTCCCACTGAGTTGGTATTCGAACCTCCAGCAATCTGCCGAAAGACGTAGCCTCCGATTTCATCAACAGTGGGGTTAGCACTTGGAAAGCTCCCCACTGATGAATTGGCTTATTTACCGCATGCGCATTATACTATACCTATAAGAATTTAGAGTAGAATCAAACAGCGTAATCAATGCGCTGTCCATGGCACGACTAGCTGTGGATCACCACCAAGACCTACACGAATGCCTCCATTACTGCACTCTCTTCGCTATTTGTGCTCGTGTTTTTGTTTAAGCTTTTGACGCAATAGACGAGGCAACATCTCCGCGACAGCTGTAGCTAGGGAAGGAATTAAGGCGGCTAAACGACAAGTCCATCTGTCTTTCAAAGCATGCATCAGATGCTAGTTGCAACCCCATCATGAAGGGAGAACGAAACACTCACTAAACACAAACTCGCTACAGCACATCAGTCGTTGGAGACTGGATAGAGGGCATCGGTTGGCACCGGTTGCGCGCGGCTGCTCTACCCAGCACTGCATGGATTTTTCCCTCCCTCATCGTCCTTCATTCACAGATCCGCAATGCGCACTGCAGTTAAGCGGTGAGCTGCTCGCCAACTGGGTTGAGGTCAGGGCGAACAACAGCCACACATTCAGAAAATCTTTGCCTTCACCTAACCCCATAGAGGCCCCAAAACACGATAAATCGGGGACAGGAAACGAACCCCATTCTGGAATGTTATTATCAGCTAGTTGGATTGCTAAGAACATCGGCAAGCTAGCCATCCTTCCCGTTGCCACCTGGAAGCTAGCCGCAAAGAAACCAGCCAGGATGCCATTAGCCACAGGCAGACCTATAGTCTGATGGCTACTTCACGACTCTCCATGGCCCTTAGACCTAAGGCCTGAGAGACGTACTGCCGATGAAGTACAGGGTAGAAGGAGTCCCAAGCACCATTACAATGCAAACAAGAAAGGCCCAGAGGAATGGAAACTCTGAGCTGAATTTTAGCAGAGGAACAATGCACAAACCATGGACATAATGAAGGGCCCAGTGAGCAGCACAAACACCAGCCTCACCATGAAGAGCAACCCCACCAATGCCAACACCACCCATAACGATGGACGCATGCATAAGAAAATCGTGCTCATATGGCGTTTTCTGCGCAGCCTGTCTCCTCACGGAGGCTTACAAAGGGCGCTCCGCAGAGCAGCCCCATCGGCAATGCCGCCTCGTGTCCCTTCCAGCTGCAGCCATTAGCTAAAAGATGACGCGATATAACACAAGCAGCGAGATGAAGGAACGCGCTGCTTTTAAGAAAGGCACAAGAATCACACTCTAAGAATGGCTTAAGAGCCTACAGCTCTGGTGCGCTTGGTGAGAGTAGACGATGAAGAGGCAAATGCTGTTTCATCCACCCCCTTGGTCTTCTTCTCTGTATCTCCACCCGCCGACGCTGCAGTCTCTTCTGGGCGACGAGAAGGTCCGGGGTGTTCCACAGTGTTATAATACTCCAGTCTTGCTTCGGGGTGTATATTGGCGAAACCATCCGAGAGAGACGCGCTAAAGACCTCCGCAGGCATTAACTCCACACGCTCCTTAAGGAAGCACACCGCCTCTTGAACCCGATGCAGTGGCACTCTGCACAGAAAGAAATCAGTTTAAAAAACACAGGACTGAGGGTATTGTGGAAGGACTGGTTAGCAGAGGTCATACGTTAGGCATTCGAATTTTCCAGCAGGAGGCATTCAATTCGCTTTCTATAAGGCTTCTCGCCTCTCCAACGCTAAAGGCACTAGCGCAGTGCTCGTAGACGCAGATCTTTAATGTTTTTCCATATATCACCCAACATGGGCTAGCTATGAAGACATATCGCGGAGCTAATCCCAGAGTTCAGGACTCCACGGATGCAGCTGAAAAAATGCAGCAAGATGCCCACGCGGCTTGCTGGCGTGCGGCAGAAATATTGCAGCAGATCGGAACTTCCCGCAAAAGAGAAACGAGATAGGCCTCCACTGATCCAGCACAAAGAAGCAGCCAAGAGAAAGATGCGACAGCGCCAGCCCAAGACGGCAGGCGATCACTCAACAGCTTTTGGCTCAGAAATTGGGCACGGAAGCCTCCCGGCTGTTGCAACAGGGTCACCACGCTCACTCGAAAGTAATTGCTTGAAGGAGGTGAAGATCCAGTGGTCGGTGATGCAGCACGTGAATTGCCTTCATGAGCTGCGGCATGCCTTCTCTTCGCCGCTTTTCCAGGCGAGCCTTCACCCAGCGCAGCGCGGAGGGCGCCACGCACAGGAAATCGAATTGGCAGTTGTTGTTCATTACGTCATCTGCAAAGCAACCCCGCCCCACACGCACACAGAAAACAAAGCGATCCTCATGAAACTCGGTAGCACACCTCTTTTCTGAAGGCTGGCATGCGCACAGCCGTAGACGCTGTGCACCCCGGAGAAGTGCACGGTTGTCCTGTAGCAAGCTACACGGCCAACCGACGTGCAACAACCCCCAACCCCACCCAAATCTAGATCGAAAACAAGGCATTTAAAACGCCAAACACACACAAACACAAACACACAAACACAAACACAAACACAAACACAAACACACACACACACACACACACACACACACACACACACACACACACACACACACACAAACACAAACACAAACACGCACCGAGACAGCAACAACACAAGCAACCCCTTCGTGCACGCTGCCGAAGTTGGCCTTACGGGGTCCTTTTTGAGCCATGGTAAGGAAGTAATAGGCGGTCCACGTGTCCAAGACGAGGTGCGGGAGGAGGTAAAACGTGGCGACCAGCAGCAGGTTTCCCCTCCACATTAGATAAATAATTGAAGAGCCCGTGAACAGCGTCAGAAAGAGGGGTGCAAGGCGCGCAGACCAACCGGGTAAGCGCAGAATCGCAAGCGTAGAAGTGTATAGGAAGGGTCTGAAGACGGCACGCATATATACACATGTAAATGTATGTACCAACGCACGCACAGCCCCACGCTACTCATGAATTTGACATCTTCTAGAATCTTCTTCTGTCATTTTGGCCAAGTGCCTTTATGTAACCACACCGGTGGGAAGGACGAACGCAAAATGCACCAATGCACACGTGGAGTCCTCCTGTACTACGTGTATTCCTCAGATGGAGGGCAGTGCAGCTTTTCAGCCCTCCCCCCTCTCAGCCAAAGTGGATAAATGTCGTGCTCAGCAGCGGAAAACCTTGCCCCTCATAGTGCGCTGTTCGGTGCGACGCATGCATTACCCTGAGGGGTGCATTCGAGATACAGCGCCTGCCGGTGCTCACCTTAGTGCAGGAGTTTCACCCAGGACATTGAAGCGCTTCGTTTGGTAGGGGATCAGGAGGAGTCCGCAGATGATGCTGCCGACGATATCCGAGAGCAGCCGACTGCTGCTGAAGGTTCCGTTGGCAGCCACGTAAGCGTGCATGAGCAGCGAGAAAAGGAGGGTTCCCAGAACGGCGCTGCTCACGATTAGCAGTAGGGGGAGGAGCACGTACGGCGAGGCCTCCATGAGGGCCTGCGGAGGGGTGCCCAACCGAGCGGTGCATGCAGAGTAGAACCACCACGTAAGTGTATAGGCGCCCACTAGTAAAGTCACGTCCAAGGCCAAACTCCACTGCGGATGCACACACAGGACAGCACCAAGAAGAGCCAAAAGGTGACGCTTGTGTAATATGATTGGACTCGTGAATTTCGCCGTCGCGGCCCGAGCCTGCGGGGTGTACATACACCTTAGACACGTCAAGGCACTGCATCCCACGTGGGTGGCACTGGAGGATCACGACGAAGAAGAGGCGGCACGCCCCTCAACGTACAAAAAACGAAACAAACTCCAAACCTTCAAGCAACGGGATAATGCACTCACAAGGGATTGGAGTGTGCTGATATGCGCGCTCTTCACCCTCACGACCTCCCTTAGGCTGTGCACGGCGGCAAGGGCTTCGCAGTTTTTCCGAGCATCCGCTTCCCTCTGCCTTCTTCCCGCTGCATGCTGCTCCCTCTCCGATTGAAGCATTTTCCATGCGACTGTGGCGCGCCGTCGATCCCAAGCCATCCCGAAGAAGGCGCAGACATCAATGAGCTGCGGCATGTGCGCAAAAACACCACAGCTGTCACATACACACGTAATTTTTTCGCATGCATCTTGCAGATTGCAGCTGAGAGACCCTCAATCGCGCACGTTTGTCACCTACGAGACCAATTCCCCAGTAGGCGAATGCCAACGCGTACATGGGAGCCCCACTACGCATTGCTGCCCAGACGACCCCGTGCCCAGACGCGGGTGTATGTACAGCTCGGCTGACGCAGCAACAACAACGGGGTGCCACGCAGCGCCTGCGAAGTGGCGTACAAGCTTGCTTGGATTGTACTGATCCCAGACACCTCCCTCCGAGGCAGCATAGTCAAATGGATAGGCGTGGTGCCAGTCGTGCCAGCCTTCACCGACGGCAACAAGAGAGGTGAAGCAACTCTCGCACGGATTTCCTTCCACGTTGTAGCGTCGATCCCCCCAAAGATGCGCCGTACTGTTCACCGTCCATGTTGCATGCAGGCAGATGCACCAGCGGAGACAGCCTGAGCCGAGAGAGAGACAGACAGAAAGGGATACCGCACACGAACCGCGGCACACATATAGAACTATTTGTCTAGGATGTATTTTCCACATACTCTACGAAAGACGATGGAACATGAGAAGCAGTACACAAGACACTTACTACCACACAGAACGGTCCCCGCCGAAAAAAAGGGGCGAACGCAGAGAGGGCATCATGGCACTTTTCTGTATTCTGGTTGGTGGTGCTGACGACAGAAAACTTTTCTCGCACAGGACGCGATCCCACATATTAATACCTCCATACAGTATACACTCTAGCGTATTTCGATCCCCGGGAGTCAGTATTTCTGCACGCTTTACCCAAGATGAAGAAGCCGCTCCAGAAGTCGTTGTATCGGTAGTATGCATAGAGTGCCGGGGCCAGGAAGCACCAAAACTGATTCCACCAGGGGTCCAGCTTGTGTTGCAGACGCACAAATGGATCCTGCAGCGGGGAACACACACGAGACACACAGGAAGCAGTGCGAAGTTGTAGACAACGCGCTTTACGAACCGCAACGTAAGAGAAGCAGCTAGCGAACGCGGAGAAACACAGGGCATACGATACAAGAACCGCACGGCCCCCAAAAGCCAGAAGCAGTTTTATGCACAGGCATGCCTTTCTTGGACGGCTATATGTCGAGACACACCCCCGGCACGCACACACAGCCCAACGACAGAAAAGAAGAGGGGGCAGACTTACAGCCAGGAGGTCGTCGAAGTTGAGCTGTCTGCCGGCATCCTTTACTGCCTGGGGCTTCTTGAGGAGGAGCCACCCCACGTGGGAGTAAAAAAAGCCCCGAGACGCGTTGTACGGATCCCCCTCTCTATCGCTGTTCTTGTGGTGAACGCGATGATCTCTAGACTGCAGCGGCGGGCACCCACACCAGCGCGAAGCATCGCTGATTGCAGACGGTAGAAGGAACGGCACGCAACTTAAGAAGAAGGCGGAGCTCCACACGGACGCGCCAATAGCTAGCGGCCGAGGAGCAGGAAAGACGCATGCAGAGAAAGACGCATAGACGGTGGAGTCAAGCGATCGGTATTGGTGCGAAGCCCCCACCCTAGGCGGTGTTTCTTTGTGTCGAGAGGCCCCTAGCGCTCAGTTTTGCGCCTCGCAGGCAGCAAAGATGAGGCAACTGACAACAAATTTGCCCACGCGAAAAAACAGCCGCACGTGCAAACACCTTTTCGTGCATGCGTACCCAGTGGAAGACAGACCCCTGATTCGCGAGAGAAGTGAGCAGCATGAGCGCACAGCGCATAGGGGTGTTTGCCTTGTAGGAACGATGAGCCCACAACCGGTGCGCTCCGCAAGTAATTCCAAGTCCCCCCGCTACGTAGAGCAGCATCATCTGTACCATGCGCAAATGCATGCGAACAGTCCAAAAGTAGAAGCTTGAGCAAACGCACAAGCCCCATCCGTCCATCCCACGACAACGACGCACACCAACTGCTCCGTTCGAAATGCCCGCGAAACAAATCCCAAGCAAAGGCTTGGTTGGTTCTGAGGACTCAATTTCAGCGCTCCCCAACAGTGCCCTTCCCCGCAACAGACACCGACTGCTGCAGCTAGTAAAACTCCGCTCACATCCGCAAACAGGGGCCAACAGCGATCATGCAACACGAGCTTCACAAGCCCAGCCACCGCAAATGCATGGAAAAACATGAGAAAGGTGGCCTCGCCGCTCCTAAATTCCTTGCAGAAAGCCTCGAGGTAGAACTTCGAAAACAGGAACGCATGGGATACGTACATTGCCAGGCACCTGAGGAGTTTGCGCCCACTCACAGACACACACGCACACATACTCATACGCACAGAAAACGACACGAATGTGATTCCCCAAGTACAAATCCCGAGAGTCGACTCTTGCTAAATCATAGGTTTCCCCCCGCGTGTCTGTCTGCAAGGGAGGGGCTGCAGGGGAGCTGCAGAACCCCCTGCACTCCAAGCACAGACACACAGGCGTGTGCTGCATGCATATGTGCGTACAGCTTGGCGTTTAGCACTGCAAGGGGGTTGTTCTGTAGCTCCGGGTGGTAAATCGCATGGGAGCTAATGGCCATGCCAAAGACCATCTGGGAGAGCTGCAGTAGCGTGATGTAGGAACGCAGGAAGTTGAATAGCCTGAGCAGGCATAGTGCAGCAACACAAAAAACCAAGCGGCACACGATACACCGACCAGCCAAGAGCGCAAGAAAAAGCCACAAACGAAGTGTCATGAGAGTGGCCTTTAAGCAGCGCAAGGCATTGCTCAAGCGAGAGACGTGATTCCTATAGGAATCATAAGAGGCATGCAGGGTAACCGCCGAGGCCAGTGCTGAACGTTTCGAAAGCTCCCGAGTCAAACAGATTTGGCTCCCTCTTCCGCCACAGGCAGACTTCAACCCCCGGCACTGCCCTTTCAGCTTGCGCGCATACCTCTTAGTGACAGCAAACTCCGCAGCGGCGAAATAGGCATGCACAAAGACCTGGACGGCGAGATTGGCAGCCACAAAGCCGTGTGCAAAAGGCACATCCACGTAGAGTGCGTGCCAGCAGTACAGAGCCACTGCCACGCGAGCATAGCAATGCAGGAATGAAGGCCTACGCCCCCGTAGAAACAAGAGAAACGTATCAAACACCTCGAGCCCCTTGCCCAGGCAGAAGACGCATACTACCAGACGTGTCAGCGGGGGGTATTTCGCCGACGGAAATGCGAAGCTGCTGAACAGACGAGGGGAGGACCACATCTGTAAGCGCACAGACCAAGGAATCACAGACGCACACACAGAGAGACGCAGTACGGCTTCGAAGAATGATCCCCAAAGAGGATCGAAGAACGGAAAGTTGGTCCATATGCATGTAAACTACGTCTCCCCCCCCCCCCACCAACCCTTTTCTGTGGTCTCTGTCGCCTTCTGCTACAACCAAGGACGGGGTCTGTGCATTCGTACGAGCGCGCAACATCCAGAGAAGCAATAGATACATAAGAAGACATTCCACAGGCATGTGACTGTCTTTAGCACGGGGCCGACTCGGGGCCTGGTGACGGATTTCTGCTGTGATCCCGACTTTAGCGCCTTCTGCTTCTGATCATGCATTCTTTGCAGGAACATAACGAGTGGAATGTAGCTCAAACAAACTCCCCAAACGAGGTGCCTGCAGCTCCGGCTTATCATTGGGGCTCTTGCCGGCTCGGCCCAAAATTCCTCCGTAAAAAGTGGCAGCATTTGCTGCCACAGCATCTCCAACATTTTCCTCAAAGGCCTTTACAGTACCAACGGCTGGCTAGCTGGCTAGCCCTAGCGGGCAACCAGTTCCGGCCGCAAGGAGCTGCGGTATGACGGTGTTGCAATAAGACCAACGAAGGCCGCCAGCAAGCACTGCAGGGAAAAGGAGCACAAGCAAGGAGACACAAACATTTCTGAGCCTAGATAATGCATGCATACTCCTTTTGCAGAGCCTCAGAGAAGCAGCTTGGTGGGCCAAGGGGAGCCTCAAAAGATTCCATATATGTACTGCACACAGGGGATTGGGATTTCGGGTGAGCCGGCCTGGGGATGATGGAGAGGGGTATTCGAGCAACGCATCAAATAGAGGCGTCAATCATCACTGACACGAGCACATGTACTGCCATTTGAATGCCCATACTCCACAATTCAGCGGTAGGCACTCTTTGCAAGTGCTAACTGCCTGCCACCGGTCCACACCTAAGGAGGAGCGATCTCGCACTCCATGGCGGCTCCGAGCAGTCACTGAAAACCCTTTAAAAATACCCTTAAATATCAAAAGAAAGTGGCGGCGGGACACGGGGAGCGAGAGGCGCTCCCCACAGCGAAGAGTCGTGGATTGCTGTGCATGCCGGTCGCTACGGCGCTTACGCGAGAGCTGGCGGGGGGGGCGGCCACTATTAGAATAAACGCGAAGTTATTATTGCGTGAAATGACGGGACTACGATGTATGGAAGGGACGACGAAGGGTTGCTGTTGAGTCCGCTGGGTGTCTCGGGCGCCTTGCCTCCGCCAGTCCTGCTATCACCCCAAGCGCAGCTGATTGTGAAGCACAATGGCTCTTGCCGCGTTTATTGAACCGTGGGATCCGTGAATTCGTTTGATTTGAAGGCAGAACAGTCATTTGGAGCTGCCAAGTGGCCCAGAATCACCCCGAATCGTTTCAGGAGATGGGGACGTCCTCCCAACCGCAGGCACACTCTCTGCCGCCTCTCGCCCTTGTGCACCCTTCTCACTGTGTCTCCTCTTTGTTTGCAATGTGTTAAGCCCTTTTTGTAGTAGCACTTTGATCGCCTTTTCTGATCCCTTCACCTAAATGATTGCGCACCGCAACGATTTACCGCTGGAGGCACCGTCCTGATAGGCGCCCTCCACTGTCTTGTGTGCTAGACGCCGTACGCACGCAAAAGAGACACGCTGTTCTTACCCATTAAAGTAGTCAAAGTTTGGATACTTAAATTTGCAAACGCATTTGCTTCGTTTATGATGTATGCAACTTTCAGAAAATGGTACGCTTCAATCCTCTCACGTGCTCCCAACCTTTGCCTGCGACCGAATGCACTGGCAGCGCACCTATAACATGCAGGCGAAGAGGTCTTCTTAAAGAGCCACTTCACTCTGGAGTCAATAAAAGACTTCATACACAGTTATTTACTGCTTTTAAGGAGCTTGCTTCTTCCTGTATCCTCATCTCTGGGGACTTTGAAACAGAGGGCAGAGGGACAGCTACGTTGCTAGCAGCTGCAGCCTCTATGTACTGGGGCATTCACAGCTATTTGCACATGGTATCTAGCGCACGGCCACTTAGGTTGTCTTATTGCATTGAACTCATTCTACGCCAAAAATATTAAGATCTGCAAAAAAGCCATGGGTTTTGTGAATTCTTTCTGCAGTGCTAGCAACATTAATCCAGAACTAGCAAAGTGCCGAGCTGTAGCGTAGCCAGCTAAAACAACTGCCTGAGCTTTGAATTTGGAATTTTTAAAGGTAAGATGGCATAGATATATGTATGAAGTTTGGAGGCTTCCAACTGGTAGTCTTAATGAAGGAAAGGGGGCATCCTCAGCTAATACTTTCCTTAAGATTACTTGCTTAATCTACCCACACATGCCACGATACATTTACGCACATCATTGATTACTCATCTTCATATGTTCTCAGTAAAAGGACGAGTACTAAAGCAAAGTATTCTCCCAAAACATTACATTTTCAACTTGAGAGTCGCTAGTGTGTGGCGCATCACCATCATAAACACAAAGCCCCTCTCAGCCTCGTTAAGAGGAGATTTACGCAATGTAGATACAGATGTACTGCCACTCCAGAGACCCAAGTAATCAATGGCCTAAACGAGTTCAAATCCAAGAAACAGGTTAGCTTGGCCTTCTTCCAGTGTATTAACACTCACTTAGGACTCTAGGGGCTGTGCCTGTAGACCGCAAAGCTACGTTGGAGCACGTTTGCTACATCATATATGTTAAATTTTAAGCATTGATAAAGAACTAACTATTTGAGTTTCTCGTTGGTGTATCCTGTATAGCTACATGAAAGAAGACGCACTGCTGTATGCCTGTGTGCTAGATGCAATATACAACTATTAACAAATGTACACGGAGCCTGAAGGTGCAGGCATGATTCCCTATCTGACCTTCTGTACTCTTGTCTGTACCTTTAAAAGACCAGCGGAGCTCTTTTGGGAAATACTCAATAAATTATTATCAAGTTTGTTTGAGTCTTGAGCTAACTTCTCCCCGAGGAGAGCTTTGCTACGGCGTTGCAGATGGTACCACCACGTCGTTATACGGAGCTTCTCGCGTCTCCTTCACCGGCAATGAATGCACTGGTGTAGGGCCCCGTTAAAGGCCTCCATATAACAGACACTTAACGCAAGATTTGATGAAAGACTTTACAAACAATTTTTGTTTTTAAAGGACATTCTGCCACCTCCTGTCTACGCTACTCCGGGTTCCCAACACTAGCGGAGAAGCCCAGCTGCAGTGCGAGTTGATGCTCCCTGTAAGTATTTGGGTACTAACACGTACCTGCACATAGCAACTAGCGTACACGCAAACAATATTGCAATTGTTGCATTGTACTATGCTACTCTGTACTACATAAGATGCAAGGACAGACAAACCACTTGGCCAGTTCTTTGTAATTCTTGGCAAATATTTTGCTAATGTGCTAGAAAGTGTTAAAGCATAGCTTTGACTGCTGCCACACCAGCTGCTCTGCTTCAAGCAAACTTTTTGATACTTCGTAACCTTGATTCATAAGTAGGTTGGCAAGGTGGGATGGGGAAAATCTGGTGATTCAGCTTGACGGTGCTACAACACCTGTTGTGGCGGCAGAGACCAGCCTGCAAGCTAGTATAAGTATAAAAGCTTTATTGTGCGTGGATAAGCATAATCTGTCAGCCGATAAAGTGCTTATTGATGCATCTACGCGAGCGTGCAAACCAGAAAAATGTGACGGCCATGGGGATGGTCAAGTACTCCAAGATTTCTTCAGCCTATTTGAAATGCACCTTGCTATGAACTCACCAATAAACACAGTGGAATTCAAATAGATTGGGGCTCGATTCACTTTGCGGAAGTCGTATGCCTGCAGGAATTGCTGCACTCGAAGCCTTTTCACAATACCTGACCTATCGGCTTGTGCCAGAATGAGCTCGAGCTTTGGGAGGAATGAAAAGACTAAAGCTGGGGTTTATATCAGCAGAGCAGTGTACCAAAAAATATTCAGCTTTGGTTTGCGACAAAATGATCTGGTCTCAGGGTAAACAGCGCCTCGAATCAAACCGTCAACCGGTGGCTCTTCCGCAAATGACAGACCACTTAACATTGCGGAGGGAAATTAGTGCAGTCTCTTCTCTGCCTTAAAACGAACAACGAATTCGGAATCTAAAATGTACCCATATTCGGGCTGTCCCAACCGGCACTATCCCAGAGCCTGTGATGAACATTAAAGCCACACAGAATCAGCGTTTTGAAGCAGCCCCCCAGAGCCTTCCCAACGGACCTGCTTTCAGTGTAGGTTGATAGGTCACATAATACGAAACTGTCTAAGCAGTGAAATGGTCAAGGTCT